GAAGTTTACTATTTAAACAAGGGAAACAATTAAAATTCTCTTCAAGCTAACATCTTATTGTCTTGATGAACTATTTCAGCTGACAATGCTTTACTTCCTTGCTATGAATTAATTTTTCATCCCATAATAATCTCTTAACTACTTCAGCATGATTGTAAAGTTTTCAGATCAGTAAAAATTTTCAAGTCAAACAAGTTGTAGGTGTAAAAACGACATTTCTCGTGTACAAGTTACCTTTGGAGTTATATGGACATTTTTCTCCTCTAACCATAATAGAGCACAATTGAGAATCCCCCACATTGACTTGACTACTTGGGTCAGTCTTGATTCAATAAGCTAACTTCTCTCCATTATAGAAAATGAGTATCAAGAGGTTATAGGGCACCACGCAAGGCTTTCATACCTCTAATGAAAACCATTACTGATGACAATGTTATCAAGTCCGCTCTACTTCTCTATCAAATAATATAAAATTTCTTCTGCATGACAATTTTATACCTCGACTCTTTTGTTTTAGACCCTTATCATAAACTTATTGATATCTTATCCACAGAAAAAAAAAAAAAGTATTTCTTCCATAAAAATTCTTCTCTTATGCTCTATACCTCTTTGAATCATACTTGACATCCCATCTAGTAATCTTTATTGTTATTTATTGCAAAGAGTGAAGTATAACAATAAGATTTTGGTTGGCATTTCAATAGAGCTTAAGAAAATATTGTCCTAAAACGGCCACTATATAATAGAAAACATCACCAGTAGACTTATTCCCATCATATGGATAAGATATCTTTAGAATGTTCAGTCACTGATCTTAAACATCCCTCTAATGGAGTGGAAGCAGATACATTGACTATAAGATAATTGAAAATGGAACATTAAATACCATTGGATTGCTGAAAACAATTCTCTTTACAAAACTTACGACTTTAAGTGGGAAATAATATAGTATTGAATCTCACAAAAATACATCATGATAATAAAACTACTAAATGAGGTGACTTCTTAAAAATTCTCTCTTGGTATTGAAAAAACACAGATCATGATTCATTTGCATCTTTTAGGATCCTAGGTTTTAATGTCTCAAAACCTTTGAGTGACTTTTTTCTCTTCAACATTTCACTATTTCGACCTTCATGACTAATATGTTTAAAGCCTTTTGTAATTTCAGCTATGGCTACAATGACTCTTTCTTCTAATGGTTATATGTTTTCCCATTATTAGACTAATGAACTCACTAGTACCTTTTAGTATGAGTGATTTCAAAGGGGACATGGAGAGCAAGACATAGCTATCACTTATTTTTTTATGAATAATAATTGATCCAACAAAAATTACACTTAAGGAAAGGATCTGAATGGAAACCTTATCTCACTTTCTAGATATCACCCATAATAAGTTTCCTTTAGGTTTTAGTCTCATTGCTATTAAATTGATGTCAAATTTTGGAGAAGAAAATAGGAAATAGATCACCCGCTGATATTTTCACTATCTGAATATCAGTTTAAGATGTCATCAAGTTCAACATATTGTCCTTAGTAAATGTATAGGACAATAAACGAGGTGCTATTAAGATCATAATAGTATATTAGTAACATGCAAACTTGTTGCTGAGCCCCTTGTTCTGGTTTTTAGGGTAGCAAAGTACATGGTAAATTAAGGAGTGGTGCCATATTCCCACCAAGTAGCCAAATTAGTGGTTGGCCATTGTCATTTGGTGTTCATATGTTTCTTATTGACAATACACAATTGACGCCACATAAATGAGAAACAAAAAAACTTGACAATGTCAACGACAGTAGAGACCTTCAAATAAAATCCAACAACATCCTATACTGATTTTGACAAGGAACACAATATTTTCCATAAAGTCATGGATTTATTGGGCATTCTTCATGATTTATGACCAGTTCAACAACAAATAAGCAAAGACTCCTAATCCTATCTAATTCCTCGATCCCATGCTTGGTGCTGCCCAACCGAAATTCAATTCACCCATTAAAATAAATTAAGATATTCATGTAATGTTGAAAATCGTGTATGGAATTTCAACTGTTTAGAGCATTGAAAATTACAATCAGAATAGAACTATAGCAAAAAGTTTGCTACCAAAACAATTTCTCAATGATGATGGAAGGGAGGTCAAATAAAATGTTCATGTAAATTCAGCAAATCTCAACACCATGAGGTGTATTTAATTTGAGAAGGAAACTTGAATTGCCAATTTCTGTCATAAGGACACCAATTCTGGTGTCTTCTTGCATTAGAAATGGTATTGCTTAGAAAGAAATCCAATGATGATCTTTATTAGGTGGCAATAAAGTATCAATGGCTATCGGGTGTGGTTGCTAAGGAACTCAATTTCTTATGAGCAAAAGAATAGTTTATTCCTCAAGGCCTACCCATTCAATTAATAAGAACAAAGTGATGAGCATGATTTTCCAAGCATTATAAACTATCATTTTCCAATTCCATGAAGTCAAATCAGTCCATGTGTTGACCGTTGATTTCTGACACTACATGTTGTTCTATCATTACCACCTCTGAATTAGACTTGAAAAAAATGTAGAGTTGATCAACTAGCATAAATGTTCATCCATCTTGTCATAGATAAGTCTTGAAGTCCATACGTTACTAGATGTCACACCTAAATAGTTATTTGTCAAAGATACTTTCATTAATATAATTGATCCCTTATAAACTATTGTGGGAGCCTAAGGAAAACTAGGAGATATTAAAGGTTACTGATAAGTCTTCATTATTATGAGTTAATAATTAGTAAATAATATAGTTTTAGCCTTAACTCATGATAAATAGACTTATATTTTTGTTAAAGTGTGAAAAGTGATTTTCAATTGATTAACGTGATTTATTGGGTAATTATATGATTTTTATAATCTTGTTTTTGAGATAATGAAGAAGTAAAAAATAAAAGAAAAATAAAACAAAATGAGGGGACCCGTCAGCCAACCTGACCCGCAAGTAGGTTGAAAGTGCAATCGGGGAATAGTTGTGAGTAAGGGCTTAAGCGGCTTGGACCGATAGGGGCATGTGTGCGCCACCCCCCTTCCACATCACCAATGGCTAGTCAGCGATAGGGCAAGGAGTGGTTGTACACATGCGAGAAAGGGACTTGATTGAGAATATAATATTATTATATATTCACCAAAAATTTCAGCATATAATCGATGTGAGACTAAACCTACATCCCAAAAAGGGGGGGCAACCGATGTGGGTTTGAATCCTTCTATAGCAAAAATTTATATTTTTTATCTGATTATCACAACTTTTTTATAAATCACCGATGAAGGATTAAGCAACCAGAATCCCTGGATTATCTATGAAAATCTTGTCAATGCGATTCGCAGAGCATCGTTACTGAATGGTTTGTAATAAAAAGATCACGAATCCATCGAGTAAAGCATCTCCAATTGATCAACGAACAAGCTATCGTCGAGAAGAGGATGATCCGTCGAGAGACGAGTCACCACCTCTTGAGAGCATACCATATGTGATGAAGAGAGCCTCCTCTTGCTATGCGGACCTGAGGATGAAGCTTCCTAACATGCGTCCCACCTCCATCTAGTTCCTCTCCGTCAAGTGACAACTGCTAGAGAGTCGCAAAGTCATCGTTTTTCTACTCCGCCAGGTGACAGCCACTATAGACAATTCAATGACCCATTTCATTAATCTCTAGACTTCACAAAGGGATCTAGAGACTGTCCACATCATTTTTGTCTAAAGAGAGCCTTCAAAGCCATGAACACTACACAATAATCCTCCCAAACACTTAGGATTCTAGTGCATCGTCGACGCATTACCGCCACGATGTCAGAACTTTGTTTCTTGCTTTCAACTTACTTTACACTTTATTTAGTGATAATTTGTGTGATTTAAATTTACTAAAATATACTTTGTTCACTTATGATTTTTTTAGCTTTTATAGATCTTAATTTGATCAATTAAATCATCTATAATTGCTTACATAAAAATCACTAGATGGAACTCTATTTCTGCCCGATTCATGTTTGCCGGGGCATTGATGTCATCTTGACATCCACACCCTTATTTATCTTTTTCATAAATTTTAAATATATTTTCTTTTCATTTCTTAGTATAAAATTCATAAAAAATATTATTCTTTAAGAAAAATTCTGAATAATTACCAGATATTATATTACATCCCTATGATTGACCTACTACTATTTTTTGAAAGTTTTATTAAATTATAATTGATATATTTGTTTATAAATACTTATAAATATCCAAAAAATCATATTTTCTAGTTTTATAAATTTTAAATTTTCATAATTTACTATACAACGACTAAGTCACATCAGTTACCACATTACCTTATCCAATCTCTATTGCTTATCATATGTTGCAGTTAAATTTATTTGATCTAGAGAGAACTATATGACAAGAATCTTTTAATATGTAAATAATATTAGTAAAGTTAATAAAAGCTTTTAACATTTCTAATATTCACTGGTATGATTAGAAAATCCTATAACCCCTGCCTAGCCAATCAAGTTGCAGTTGTGTGTGGATCAAGTAATACACATTTAACCAATCCTGATCTCCCTCAAATCGAAAAATTATTACCTAAGGCTGGGCTTCGCAATATTTTGACTTTCTTTTTCTACATTCAATTAAGCAAAAGTATTTGCCAAGATAGTAATGTTACGCTTTAAACTCATCATCATTTGATTTTTCAAAATGGACAATGTCAAGTGAAATGGAAAGGGGAAGTTTAATTGAAGAAAATTGTCATCTCCAATTGGGCAGCTTGATTGTAGAAAACTTATTATTTCAAATTCCAATGCCCAACTATTCATTCAATTTATGGCATTGTCAAGATAGCTACTATTGGTATAGGCCCCTATTGTTCCCTAGTGCTATAAAGTCCTTGTAATGTTAGACAAGTCAAACATGCACATCAAAGCTGTCTCATCTTTATTTCCTTGTTCTTCATTTGGCCTTCCTCTATCTAACTAGTTATGGCTTCAAACTCTCAACTCATTGCCACATTCCTCGTTGCCAATTTGCTCATATTCACATTGGTTTATGGCCAACCCACACCAAGTCCCTCACTAGCTCCTCCACCTTCTTCTATTCTCACCTACAGACCTAACATTCTATTACTCTCTTTGTGCAATCTAAGATTCATAATTTGGATGCCTAACCCCTTAGTAAATATTCCCTATTGTTGCGCAGTCATCAAGGAACTTCCAAGCAACAATACTGCCACATGCCTTTGTCTTGCAGCTCAAGCAAACATCCTTGGGATCAATATTAGTATCCCAGACGACATTAAACTCTTGCTCGCTGTATGTGGCTTGCTGGTGCCTATTGGGTTTACTTGTCCATAGTTAACCAATGGCAAAAGGTGGTGTTTAGCTTTTGAGAGTTGTTCAGTCATGTAGTGAGTTACTAATATGTGGTCTCTACTTCTTCAGAATATCATTGTCCTATTTCTTTATTCTAATGAGCATTAAGAAATGTTTGTCAAAGAATGTCTCACAGTTTTTTTTTCATGAGAAGTGATCATACATGTGACAAAAGTGTGTTTGCTGTAATAGAACCTTTTTTTCCAAATAAGGGTTTTCACCAAAGACCATGTTGAGGAATTTGTCAACTAGTTTGTCTAGACAACAAAGTGTTCACATGAGGGGTGGGGAAGGGGGAATTGGGTGAACTGCGTTGTCTATGCATATATTATGGGCTAATGATGAGCGTTAGTTCAGTATAGAAGCCTTTTTGTTTTAGTACAATAGATTAGTCAAGCTAGTTCCATTGGCCATTAAAAACTTTACCATCGATATTCAAACATACTACAGCGTTAAATGTAATACAAATCATTCTTGTCAATTGATCCAAGGGTAGAGCTGTGTTTACTACACTTCATGTGGAACATTTCAACATGACAATTTCTTCATTGGGAATGTGTTATTTTATTTTATGATAAGTCGAGGTCACTAAAGGTTGAACATATATTCATTCTTAAGAGAATAACTAAAGCACTTGAGGAAATACTGAATTGACTAAAACAATGAACAAGAAAAAGGCATATTACAATATGATTACCACTTTTTAACTTTGGATATCACTTGTAGGTCATTGTTGGAAAAGTAAAACTTCCACGAGTCACAAGTACACACTACTTATGGGTTGCAGCCTAGCATGCAATTTTGACATACAAAACTTGTATGTTATAATACAGATCCTATGCATTGATTTATGGATGTAGTTCATCATAGCGTAACTTTAACAATATCACTGTGTTGCACTTTTTCTCCTTCCTTTTCATTAATTTTACTCTCATTTGAGTTGATGTACGTCAATTTACTTCATTAAGAATATACGCACTAACTACAAATATTTTTCTTTGTTCCAAATTTTCCCTAAGACTTTTTTAAAAGATGGTACAATGTTTATATGGTATTTCAGGCTGAGTCAAAATAACTGAAATAATGCACTAGGTCATTTTGACCCTCACATGTTTTTGTCAACAACTAATAAATTAGGGCTGAAAAATTGTTCTTAAAAGTAAACATTGGAGATATAGTTGTGGGTTCTAGATGACATCTCCACAAATAGTATATGCTTCTTGTCTATTTACGTTTTTGTAAAAGCACTACATACATGGGACAACTATCTAATGAAGAGTGAGTTTATCTTGATTACTAACCACCAAGTGTTGAAGTCTATATTTCTCAAACCATCTTAAAAAACGTAGGTGGAGTGGGTTGAATACATTAAACAGTTTTATTTTAATATGACGCATAAGTTTGGTAACTTCGAATATATAAGTGATGTATGCAGTAGAAGAGTCATGTATATATGATTTTCGGAGTTTTTGAAAGATCTATATGAACCTACTGAAATTTCTTTCAAAGAGTGGACAATATGCAAGATGGGTCAAGTAAAAGAGTTTTACTTACAATAATAGGTCTATCTTAATGGAGAAGCATTAACCATAGGGTTCCATTATATGAAAGCTTGAGAAGGAATTTAAGTGGGGAAGGATGGGAAGGCTATTTGAACTACAAGCATATTAAGTCCTCCCTTTTAATATTATGCTTTGTTCACTTGAGATACTAACTTCTTATTGCCAAATTTTCTACATTGTCTTATAAAGCATAATACTAAAATCCAGGATTTTATATTGTGATTGCACTAATCCATCAGAAATTATATTTCATATTTTCTTTTTTTGGGCAGTTTTTATAAGATAACAATTTAGTTTGATGCAAAAAGACAAATTTAAAAAGAAAAACCAAGAATACCAGAGTAAATAATGGGCTTAAATGGTAGTTATATCCTGCTTATAATGGGCTTAAATGGTGAACAGGAAACTAGGTGATATAATCTAACCTATTTGTATACATGAGTCAAGAGTGAGAAAGTGTGCTTTACACCCAAACAATATTTGATAATAACTGCACAGTTAAATGCTCTGCTAAGAGCTCTCTTTTGTGAAATGTTTACCATTTTTGTCCAAAGGCTACAATTTCATTCAGATGCTGCAATAAGTCTAATCTTTTGTGGAAATAAAATTTTGAATTGGAAGCCATAATAATATATGGGACCAAGAAAAAGAAGGCATAGAAATTTTGCATAACATCAACAGCAATGCGTGTATTGTCTGTTAACAGTTGACATGGGCATCTCTCACAGTACTAGTACTATGAGAGAAGACCATTGGACGACGTTTTTTTTAAGTAGGGAACACTCTTTAGCCTTTTAGCACAAGATTGTAAGAGGTCTAAATGACATAAAGAGAGAAGGTCAAATTGCCTGAAAGGGTAAATCATGGAAGACCGAAAACAGGCTCTATGTAAGTGACCCATTCGTGATGCATGCAAGCACTCCTCCCCACCCCTTAGAGAATTTTATGTCACATCTTCTCCTATCAAACTCAGGTAAGTCTTCCCTTACGGTTCGGGCAGCCCTGTTCTTTGAGGCGCTTTTGTTTTCCATCGCCATGTGGTAGCAGGGAAGAGGCACAGCCCCCGTGACAGCTCCTGAAACCGGGGAGGCAGCTCGGCAGCCGATGTCAACGCCAAGAAAAGAGAATTATTTTTTGACATCGCAGGTGACCAAATAAACAAACAGGAGAGAACAATATAGAGGCTGATGACTTAGATGATTGCCTCATTTTCTAATATTCATAATGAAAAAAATAAAATCTTGTGTGGAGTTTATGTACACCTTCTAGATTCAATAAAAACCCAGATTGTAGGCACATATGTCACCACAAAATTAAGTTAAAATATGAAAAATCATATAATATTTTTTCCATCAAACTTCATGTCTCAACTAGAACCCTGCTGACGGATTTAATGAAGCATGTGCCATTTCAAGGCTTCCTGGAAGACACTGATGGAATGGTATATCAGATTCTGCAGTTACACGTCAACCATCCAATCTCTTCCGCCAGACATGCTTGATTCAAGGAAATAAATAAATAAATAAAAACCAGAGATGAGGCAGCAGCAGATGGAGAACGACGGGGCAAAGTAAAATCCCAAATGGGAAAAGGAGATAGATCAATCCATTGCATTGATCGGCTTTTCATGTAAAAAAAGTCATGCGAGGGTCGGAGATGAAGAATTTCAAGTAAATTGGCTTCTGAAAGACCTCAACAAAGCATTATGTTCAAGGATTATTAGCCCAAATTATTGAAGGAAAAAAAAAAAGTGGAGACGCATGGTTTGTTCATCATATGAGAATTTTGTTCTCCTTCCTTTCCACACCGTACACCTGCAACAATAATATAAAAGTACGCATCAATAGCAGGCAATGTGGGGAAAATATTGATGAAAATATTGTGGAGCAGCAAGATCAAGGATTGATGAGATAGACAGACAGAGAGAGAGAGAGAGAGAGAGAGAGAGTTGGCTCACCTCTGTTCCACAACCTTTCACAAAAATATCCGTGAAGAGTTCTGAGGGATCAGGTAAAGGGCTCTCCTGGAAAGCATACCCAAAGATGGAAATGAGGAAAACATGGAAGAAAAACGAAATTCAATTCCACGAATGAGTTCCGGCAATGTTGCAGTTAATTACCTTGGCTTCAGCAATGGCATTATCTACTTCTTTTCTGATTTCCTTCTCGATATCCTGGGAAGGTGTCGTAAAAAAATATATATAGTTTTGATTATTATGAGATTTTCTATGGGTTCTCCACTCAAATATTATGAACGAATATTCCGGTCGAATGAATTAATTACCTTGAGCTCTGCGGCGGAAACTAGATCGTGCAAGAGAATCAATTTTCTGACCCTTTCAATTGGATCGCGCTCCTGCAGAAGGTAGTAGAAACGAATATGTTCAAGACTCTGATAGAGCGAGAAGAGCCCTCAAGATGCTCGGTGAGAACCATCTGACCTGTCTCACGTTGCTGATCTCATCACGTGTGCGGTATGTGCTCCCGGGATCTGACATGGAGTGGCCATGGTACCTATACGTGTCCATTTCGAGAATCTGGGACAAAATCATATATGGAATAAGTAAACCTAGGATCCAAAATCTAGATGCGATTAATGCCCTGAAAAGGTAAAGAACGCTCAACAGACCCATCAGGTATTGAGCAGAAGAATGTGAGAGGATGGTTTTGATGCTTTATCATATTATTGTAGAAGACAACAAGATATTACGTGGGAAGTAACATTTTGTTCTTAAATGTTTCCTTATTATGAGACCAAATGATTTGAATAATCTGGCCAAAATGGCTCTTCAGGCACGAGGGTTTAATCGTGTTAAGAAGAAAAAAAAAAAATCCCAAGGAACTTCTAGTTATGATGAATGCGAGGTAGAGAAAGGGAAGACGCATGATGGTCCCTCTCACTTTCTTACACCTAAAATCACCTTGAGGTTCGAACTCTCTTATCGGTTTTCCTCTCTCATTCAAAGATGAGAGATGGGTCAGGGAGAGAGAGAACTCAGTTCAATCAAAACAAGGGATCAGTTCATTCAGCTAATTCACTACTAATCAAAACAGTGAAGTAGCCACTGATCTTCTGTAGGGGCTAGGCGAGCTAGACTGGCTAGGTGATTAAGCCAGCTAGCTTCTGCAGTTCAACTTGACAGGTTGGTTCACTAAGAATTAGACTTAAATAGATTAACCTCTTGTGTTACTAATCTAAACTAGCCCCACTAGCAGTAATAAAGAGTACGACTGTTCTGTTTCTGTTTTTAGAGTAAAAATCGCACATTATTCCTTCCTGTATGAGACGGTTTCATTTCCATAGAATAAATACTACATGCATCACACTTGAGTCTAGTTTACGAAGATTAATATCTTTATTTATGTATGCTTCTCAGTTAATGAATATATATCCACCCCAATCATCGGCATTAGCGTGATGCCACTTGTTCAATCATTACCCATCGTCAGCCTTTGGAATGATGGTCATCAGGAACACAGGTATCCTACAACCCACAAAGATAATGAAGGGAGAAGATTTAAGCAAAGGGAGAGGCAAAACCCACAAGGAACACAAGGGTTTTAATGTGTGTCGACTAAGGCTGCATCCACAGAGCCACTAAGTCCCAGAATTAAAATAAATGCAATATCATCATCTTTCTTCATCGACTTGGCGAACAGATTGTGAAGAATACCCTATTTGGTCATAGATACGTCTACAATAATAGACTACAGAAAAATAAGAGAATTTTCCCATGCAATTCCATTTAAGAGTAAGAGCGTGTATACTAGCAAAAAAAGGAAAGAATAATCTATCCCATAAACAGGTCGTCGAATTTATTTTACCTAATCCATGTTGGGGTTATGTGAGCATGCATTCAAGCTGGCATGCTGACATTGCGCTCCATAATGATAACTTTTAGGAGAACTGAGGATCGGCTGTGGCCTTAATGGAAGCTTACAAGCAACCAGCATTTAGTAGGCAGATTTGCTAGATCTAGCGATATTGAACAGTCAAGATGTTATATCTGACCATTTAACCTTGGAAACGTCAAACAACTACCTCCATTCAGTTATCTCCTGGCCTAAAACAAGCTATTCTGCAAGCAACACCATGATATAATACAACCAGAAGGATTTCAGTAATCATGTCAAACAAAGCCCCTTCCCAGATCCCTTTTCCAAAAATGCAAGGTTTCTATGAGATGCGCACCCCCCTCCTCCTCAGTCGCAACCCATTCTATCACCGGTATGGGCTGCAAACACAGCAACAAGGTTCAGAAAGAAAAACCCATGGACCCCCATGGACTTTCTCAGTGACACCATCTCAAGCAGGCTCATTGCCCCATTAGTGTTTACATCTTTGAGCCATTTGCCACTTCCCTTATGATTTTTGAACTACAATTAATAGAATGCAGTACGTTATGTTCTTTTTTTAATCATGAAGAAACTCAACATTTGGAAATTATAGGTATATTTCAACCCCAAATCTGGTCTTGATCTAAACATTTAATTTGAACAGAGGAATATAACAAGTTTTGAGATTTTTCAAACGAAAGTGATCATTATGACAAGGCCGCTTGTTACTTTCTAGGCTTAAATTTGGAATTTCAGCAAATATTTGAAGATCTCCACAACTCTGAAATCCAATGACTCAGAGAAACCCACAATATATAGTGTTATTTAAGCAATCTATTTGAAAGATGGTACTATAAAGAATTTGAAAGATGGAACTGTAAAAGGAAGGAACCTTTGTGAATACATATAAATGAATTGCACATAACAATTTTACATGAAAATTCACCACATGCACATTTAACCGTTGTAGATATAAGACTAGATTTAAGAGTCAATAGTTAACCAAGGGTGCTAATACAAGCTATTTTCCCTACTTGAAAATTGTTTTGGTATTCTATTAACCTGTAATTTTCAAAAACCCCTGTGATAGTTTAGCAAGATCTTATATCACAGAAAGAAATACAACTAATAACTCCATGCAAACTAGTTTCGCAAATAAACAATCTATGAGCATATGTAAAACAAAAGAATAGCCAAGCTAAAAACACAACATAAGTATTGTCATAGCTCAACTCACAATAGGACCATTCTTCAGAGCATGTTCTTTGGCAAATTTACACGCCTGTTTGACAGCAAATGCATCCATACCATCAACCTGTTTCAACATATATCCCATAAAATAAGTCGTTATCAGGGACGAAAGGGCTGCTATAGAACATTGAGATGCAACTACATTATGATTTCATGAAAATAATCCAGATAAGATTCTACCTTCAGAAACTGTACTTCGTTCAAAAAGCTAAACTTTTTTTGTACAGAATGAATTTATGGATGATAATATTGGCTTGCACATTACTATTGGCAAATGTAGCAACACTCCTTTGCCTCGTCCTTGCCCTGTTAAAAACACAGTCCAGACTGACTTTGCTAGATATCCTTGACATAGCTTAAATTTTGATTCTGAGGAACATTTATGCTCATGTCGGCACATTTTGTCCTATATCCTGCACGTTTCACATGATGGAATTTTATTCAAGACTCCGTCAATCATTACTCTATTCTTCCATTCTACATCACAACTAAGCCAGGAAAAATAAACCCGGATCACTATTCTTGCACTGTTTTCTTCTTTGATCCTAGTCCTTTTGCTGTTATCTATTTTTTCAAAATATAGCAAACCCCAGAGCCTAAAAGTCACAATCCCTCATTAAAAAAATGCCACAAATTAGAGTTGCTTGCAAAAGAAAAGACACTCAGCAGCCAAAATGATGTAGCTGCTCAAGTACTTCACAAGAAACTTCAACTTTGAAATGTACAATGTGCCTAGATGGTGTAAACTGTTTGAAAGTTCATTTCGCTCTGGTAAATCAAGGGCACATTACACAAGCGTTTGATGTGAAATAGTATGCCTTTCGCTCAAAAAAAATTTATGATTTGGGGTAACTATTATCTTGCATAGTTGTCCCTTCATATTCTTCGAATTGTTATTTTCCCTTTTTGTCCTCATGTATTCTTCTCTTTTCTACCTTTTTTTATTTTATTTTATTCTTCATGCTATTCATTTTTCTTACCTTGTTCTTTAATCCAAAAACAGTAGTTCCTTTGTCTCTTTCATTCCTTGTCATTGTTGATTTATGAGATTTTTGCGTACCATGCATACTAGCGCATCTATTAAGTTTTTGCAACAACCAGTGCACAGAACAATTGAATGCCCCTGTGTATATTTAGTAGTGCATCGAAGTTTTCTCAACAATGAACGGGCGTCAAGTTGAGTTCTCTGCTGACTAAATATGATTTCAAATGTCCCACAGGTGGTAAAAATAGTGGTCTCAAGGCAAAAATATGGCCCTCACTTGATCATCTAATCCTTGGGAATGCTTCCTAAGTAGTTTAACAAAGTAGCTCGTGTACAACAAAAACAAAACAATCAATAAAAACTGTGTTCCATTCCATGGTCTAAGATTAGTCGTCAGAACTCTGCACACGTGAAGGAAGTCATCAGGCACATGCTTATTTCTGGACAAGACCATGATGTCATGGGTTGGTAAGAAAAGCAACGTGCTAGTATAAACTACACGAAGGTTTATTCACATCACTATCAAAAATAAAAATAACAAAGAGGGTGAAGTGGAACCAGAAAAGTTATCCCTTAAAAGATTCAATGTCATAGGTAAAGCAGCATGATCATTATAAATGTCATCTGAGTAAGTATACAGGCAAAAAAAAATTAGGCATCTTTTCCCAAACCTGTTCCTCATAGCAAGGAGTTATCCGTTTCCCCATAAATAACACTCATCATGCATATGAATTTAACATCTCTGCTTAAATTTTTTCTGTAAAGAATAACTGCTTTTTCTCTTATTCAAAATGCAAAAAGTAAACCGCCCACTTTTCCAGATCTCAGCACTTTACACAAGTTTTTTAATTAACTCAAAAATATAACAAATACAACTGAATTCCAAACGCAAAGGTGAATCTCCCCCGACTTGCACAAGAAATGACCGGAGGTCAAGTGGCAGTGAAATATCAGTGACAGAAGGCCACCAATTCTTTGAGTCCTTTATCCTTCTTTCAGAGTGAATATTGGAACAAATTTCTGCACCAACTTAGCAACAACTCGACATACAGTGAGAATAGCATCGTCTCCCACATATGCCATCACAAGAGATTTATCATTCCTCTCATTTGTCTGCCACTTATGCCATCACAAATTTCTGCACCAACTTACCAACAACTCGACATATAGTGAGATTAGCATCGTCTGCCACGTATGCCATCACTGAGAGAACTATGTGCGAGCAATAGTCCAAAAGTTCCATGTATAACCCATTTTACAGCCTTCTCCAGTGACACTAATCCAAATTCAAACAACTAAAACTGTCCTTGTTTCGAGGTTCGAAACAAATGGCCTACTTCGTCCCCGTTCTACACATAGCCCCACGCATACACACAGAGATAAGAGTACAGCCAAAGAATTGATGAGTGATTGACGTTCAACTTTTTAAAATAAATTAAACAATATGTCAACAGGAAGGAAGAGGGCGACAGTAAGTTTTTCACAGTAACTACACCTTTAATCCGGGGACGTAGTCACCACGCTTATAGTAAGCAGGACTCTTAGCAGCCCTCCATTCTGCTGTTCCCATGCCGTCTGTAAGAACGTGATGGCAAGTCCCACGTAAGAAGAATTTTATCAAATGGAAAATGACCAGACAACGAATTTTAACACACGTTCGAACAACTCACAATGGTTATTCTCGCAGATAAGGATGGCGGGCAAATCCCACAGAGCGGAGATGTTGAGAGCTTCGAAGAGCTGGCCCTGATTGGCGGCGCCGTCGCCGTACATGGCAAACGTGACGGTTTCCTCCCTCAGGTACTTCTGGGCAAAGGCGAGACCACATCCGAGGGGAACCTGAGCCCCCACAATGCCGTGGCCACCGAAGAATCCACCCTCCTTCTTGTAGAAGTGCATCGAGCCTCCCTTGCCATTGGAGCACCCGGCCCGGCGCCCCATGAGCTCGGCGAACGTCTCGACGAGATTACCGCCGCGACTGAGGAAAATGCAGTGGTCCCTGTAAGCCGTAATGATGGCATCCTTGCGGGTGATGGCGGCCTCCATGCCGACGGCCACGGCCTCCTGGCCATCGTAGAGGTGACAGAATCCCCGGATCAGCTTGGCCTTGTAGAGGGCATCCGCGGCGATCTCCATCCGCCGCATCAAGGACATGTCCCGGAAGAACCCCATGAGCTCCTTCGCGGTGGTCTCCACCTCCCGCGATGGCGGCTCGCACCTGTGCCCGACGAAGGGGACGCTCGTCTCCACGGTGAAAGTCGGCCCCTCATCGCCGGCAGACGAGGCGAAATGCCGCCCTCCCGTGGAGCAGCACAGCGACCGAGGTAGAAGAAGAGTCCTACCCAGGTGGGACGACCGCGATGCTAGCCGGCTGAGCATCGCCATGGCTCCCGAAGATCGACCAGAAGCAGCGGCGCCGCCCGATCTGCGGAGGGGGGGTGGGGGGGACCCGACGTTGACCGGAAGGCGGATGGGAAGAGCAGGCAGGTCGGGGAGGAGAAGAGAAATGGGGGAATTTGATATTCCGTCCACCCTCACCCATCTCAACCTCCAAAAAATATCCAAGAATGGGAAGAAAATGGGCCAGAATTTTCTCCTGAGACGGCCCATTTGGTGAAATGGGCCAACTTTCTACAAACCCCCGCCCCTGCGGGTCAAAATTCGTCATCTCTCCTCGTCTTTTGAATAAATTGTATCAAAAGACCCTCTTTCTTACATATACGCTAATAAGACTGCTTCCTTACATATTTTAAAGGTCCCCGAAAAACAAAAAAAAACTGCTTTGAAGCTTGAGGCTCACTAATAGGGTTGGAAGAGGCTGCCACATAGGATGAGGCCTTGACTTGTCATCTTATAATGCGCCAAGTCACCCGACTAGGTGTCCTTGAGTCTGTTTCTAGGGCTTCATCTTGATATCTAACCTCCAAAATAAACTTAATTTCACTTAAGCCCCTCCCAACTAGGGATTGACCCAAGATAACATTATCAAGTGAGTATCATATTATACATAAGTCTACAATCTGTAGTGTAGAGAGTGATGACATAATTCATTATTGGGGTGGGATAAGGCTACAAGGCTACAACATATGATGGGTCCTTGACATTTCATACATCTTTGACAAATGGCAAAAGGTAAAATATATTTGTATTTGATGTAGTTGGAGTTAAAAGAAAGAATAAATATGATAATTGAATTTATAATGCACAAATCTAGGCTTAAATAGATGTTGAATCCACAAGACCTAACGCCCTTAATCATTAAACCGACTAGGATTGATTGGAGTAATCTTTGAATCCATAGGGATCAAAACATAATTTTGTTAATCCACAAATAATACAAAGCTTGAATCCATATTTAGAATAACAATAAAAAAAACCAAATTTGTAGCATTGAAGATGTTATTTGATTTAGAAAGTGGTGGGCTTTAAAAAAGCCAAAAATCAGTTGAGGTACACTTGAAAAATAAAATAGATTTTAAAATAAAATTAGAACAGCCTAACAAATGTGTCAATTATAGAAATTGACTCCGACACTTTAGTTTCACTTTATTTTCACTTAATAAATTAAAGCAGCTGAACAAACATGTTAGTTATTGAAAATTAACTATGACTTATTCTTCAAACACTGTATCTAGGCATTTTCTAATTTTGAACACTTTATGGCATCTTCTCATTCCACAACTCATTCTCAAGGTGGCTAGCCCACTAGTTATGAGTTGTTTGGGCTTCTATATATGCTGGGCTACATCAACTAGCCATCTTACTATGTGCTGCTAAGTTGATATTATTAAATTTAGGCCTACATCAACTTGACACTAAGTTCTTGTATGTTGGACCCACATATGATATTCTATTATTTTTATTTCATTGGTTTCTTTGGGTATGAACTTTTCACAATACATGTAGGCTAAATGGAGTTGGTTGGACTTAAGCCCAAACCCAAACTAGTGTGAGATTAGGTGCAAGATTTGCCCATCTCTCTCTCTCTCTCTCTCTCTCTCTCTCTCTCACACACACACACACACACACACACACACGCACACAGTCTATAGGAGGTTTCTATCATCATATTACCCACATATTCAATTAAAGAGTAACTTGGTTCTTAAGATTTTCTTATTTGTGGTATATATCCACAACTAGGTTCAACTCAAAGGAAAGCATTAAAATGCATTTTCATACATATTTTATTAGTAAGAAAAAGTGTAAATGTTTTAATCCCATATCTTATTTGATATGCAATAATTTCATATAAAAACATTTTTATAGTGATAACTTAATGAGGATATGGAATTTGTTCCTCAAGGATATGAAATTGGCTATAAGATTGATATAATATAAAAATTAAAGATGAATACATATGAACTCAAAAAATCACCAACTTGGTTTGGGAGATTCAAAAAGGTGACAAGAAAGGTTAGTTACATACCTAGTTATAGAGATATTGGTCTATTTGTTAAACATTTACTTTAAGTGAGAACTATGGTACTATTATCCTATGTAAATGATATAATAGTGACAAAATGGTGAGAAGGAAAAATATATTAAATATTTTTTACTCAATAAATTTTATTTTAAGATGTTAAGAAAATTAAAATATTTAAAGTCAGCTTACTTGAAACAAGGATTTTTATTTCTCAACAAAAGTATGTAATTGACCATTTAAATGATATCAAAAAATTAAGTTATAAACTTGTAACTACTATCATAGATCCAACTCATAAACTCAAGAATAAATAAAAAATAATCTAATAAATAAATTACAATATCGATGTTTGGAAAAAATGGTTTACCTTTATACATCAAACTAGACATTACATACTTAGTACTTATTTTTCAATCAATTTATGCATGACCTAACAAAAGTTCATCTCCTAGTGGCATATAAGATTTTATACTTAAAGAGAACTTTTAATAGAAGAATTTTACTGAAGAAAAATAACACTATGAATGTCAATATTTATTTTAATGTGATTATGTAGGCTCAATTTCAGACTATTGTACACTCTTTGAAGGAAACCTCATCACATAGACTATTGATATAAGAATTTTATTTAAGAAAAATAAAAATATGGATTTAAATATCTATTTTAATGTTAATTGTGTAGGCCCAATTGTTGACCAATAATTGACTTAAAATTATTGTACACTCGTCATCGCCATCATATAAAGAAGTAAGAAGCAACAAGTGGGAGACAAATAAATTTCTAGCCATGGAATAAGACATTTAAAAGGTTATTTGAGTGAAAGTCATCTTAGAAAACCTCAAAATTAAATGGTAAGGTTTAATTAAATTATATTGTGATACAAAATCTACTATAATTATTACACAACTCGTTGTAATATGATACCATATACATAGAGATTGATTAACACATAATTTAAGAGAAACTTGATAATGACATCATTTTCGCACTAACAAATATAATATCCAAACTTATGAACTAAAAATATTATAACCAAAATATTAAGCAAACTAATCTTTTAGAGGCTCACGTTTAAACTTAGATTAGATGACATCCATTCACCAACTTGAGAAAAATGTTGGAAAAACGGATATTACTATTATATCAAAATTATTCTCAAATTATGTTTATACCCATATTTTGTTTGTATTTTATCCTTTCAACTCATTAAAGGCCTTTCCATTGCTGCAAGCTAAGTTTTCTGAATAAATATTCCAACCACTCGGTTGATATCTTCTCTTGGAGTGGTTAGATAGTAGGAAATGGGCCTGGCCAGGGGAACATATGCATTAGGCCGGTCCATCATGTGAACCGGCCCATTAACATCTCCGTTGCTGGGCTACTACTATAAATAGAGCCTTCCTCTCATCTCTCTTCTCCACTCGTCAGTTGGAAAACACCAAAGATAAAGAAAGTATGGTGGGCTATGCGGAGCCGTGCCCGCTGTGCGGGAACAACAAACGGCGGAGGTTCGGCGTGCACTACTCGCGCTCCGCCGAGGCTCCCTGCCAACAGCAGTCCACTCTGCCGGAGCCGGAGGGCCAGCCGAAGTCGGTCTCCGATCCGCTCCCCTCGCCGGCGCCGTGCACCGCCGTGGAGGCGGTGGCGGTGGCGCCGCCGCCCCGCCACGAGGACCCCCCGGCCATAGCTTCTCCCGCTGCTGTCAACCAGAGGGACCACTCGGATTCGAGCGAAGGATCCTCCCCGTCGACGGCACCCTTCCAGACTACGGTTCCTGCCGCCACCGCCGCCGGGGCTGTATCTGCCCCGCCGCCAGCCGAAGCCGTCGCATTGCAGGAGAAGGCGGATGACGCAATCCCCGAAAATGTAATCAAGATTGAAGAAGCTGTGTCCCCCAAGGTCGGTCTTCTTTTCTTTGCTTTGCTCTCTTTGTCTCTCTCCTCTCTCTTCTCTGTCTTCCTGTGGTTCTTGACCGTCGGTGACGGGTTGGTGGTTGGACAGGAGGAGGGAGGGCCGCCTCCGCCCGTGGCCGGCGAAGAGTCAGAGGAGGTGGCGACGATGTACATTAAATGCAAGTGCGGCCGAAGGCAGGAGTTCCTATACCGCCAGAAGAGGGCCTGAGATCTGTGGGAGTGAGAGTCAGAGAGAGAGAGAGAGAGATGAACATGGGCTCTGGCGGGTTCTTCCAACGGTCAAGAAATGGGCCTCCTATTTTCTTCACCATCTCTTATATCGTCGATGCCCTCGTGCCCACAAAGAGAGCGAGCGAGCGAGCGAGCGAGCGAGCGAGCGAGAGAGAGAGAGAGAGAGAGTCCTGAGCCCACCTAATCTTGCACCCGTTTGGGCTTATGTGCCTATACAAGCCCATTATCCGGCAGGCAGTGTCCAAAGTTTATACCCAAAGAAACCAATGAAATAAAAATCGAATAATATCATCGGTGGGTCCCCTGTACAATAATCTGACTCTCTACTTCCCAAAAAATCTTAAAGGGTTGAGGAAAACTGATAGAGTGACAAGTGGTGGTCTTAACCATGGAAGAGAGAGAAAGGGAGTGAGAGAGAGAGAGGGATGCCAACTATACCTATAGATTAAGTGACGCATTCAGATATGACTGTTGACTTATACATTAGCACATGTCAAAGGCCAAATCATATACATTTGGGCTGAATCCTACACGTTTTCAAGCACTCGGATTGAAGGAGCAAGGGAAACTGATAGAGTGACAAGTGGAGGTCTTAACCAAGGAAGAGAGAGAAAGGGAGAGAGAGAGAGAGAGAGAGAGAGAGAGAATGCTAACTATGCACGCATATTTAGTGATGCATTAAGATGTGTGTTAATATGTACATTAACACATGTCAAAGGGCATTCATAGAAATTTTGTCTGAATCCAACAAGTTTTCCAGCACTCGGGTTAAAGGGCCAAGGGAAACTAATAGATTGACAACTGGAGGTCTAAACCAAGGAAGAGAGAGAAAGGGAGAGAGAGAGAGAGAGAGAGAGATTGAATTTGGCTGAATCCAACACGTTTTCAAACACCCGGATCAAATCATAGGATCAAAAAATGAATTGAATTTGTGATATCTCTCGCAAAGCTCCTACAAAATGGTCTCACTGAAGGCGCTTTTCCTTAGAGTTGAGTGAAGAGTTGTGCGTAGGAAGATAGTTTTAGGAAAAAGGATGCAAGTATATGTGTCTAATATTTTTGAACTATAAAGTTTTATTTTCAATAAAATTAAACTGATATTAGACGGAGTGTGCATTCCGCTAGAGGAAGCGGCTTGAACCTTCGACCTTGTGGTTAACAGCCACACGCTCTAACTAACCGAGCTACTCCAGCTTGTAATTATTCAACACACCCATTTCATGACCAAAAAGTTGAAGCAAGGGGCCAAAATTGAACATAAGTTGAAAAATTGTCATCTTGCAGATGCCCCGCGATGAGCTTCTCTGCTGCCGATGTTCTTCTGGGGGATGAAAAAGTTCAGAGCTTCTCGGCTATGGATTTCTTATTCTGCCAGAGGCGGTCAAGGGCGCTGTCGGCGTCTCCCTGGCAAAAGAAGAAACCCCCGGCTCAGTCAGGGAGAACCGACAGAGAGAAAAAAAAAGAGAGAGAAAGAGAAAAAGCTTCAGTAGTCATGAAAATAGTGGAATCAAAGGTCATCTAAAGGAGGAAAGATTATGGATAGAGCAATATAAAATCATGGGAAAGATTAGAGAACAAAAGGCGGCACTGTAAGGATGGAGAAAATAGGAGAGAGCGTAGTCAGAAGTGGAAAAAAGATAGGTTATTAAAGTACAGAAAGACAGAGAGAGAGAGAGAGAGAGAGAGAGAGAGAGAGAGAGAGGAGGCTGAAGGGGAAAACTGAAACAAGCCTGCAGTCAATGGACGAGTTTCAGGACTGAAAAAAGCTCGCTGAACGATTAAACAGGTGCCTAATATGGCACATTATACCAATCAAAATTCTCAGCTTTTTTTGTGTTTTTGAGGGATGGGAAATAAAAAAATTGGTTTTTTTCCTACTGAAAACCGATCCTCGATTCATTCTCTCATACATTGCGAGTTTGAGGCTCTGTGTTATCAATAATAAATGTGTCGGATGCAGTGATCGATTTAGTGATTTACGCATTGTTGTAGGATCCTATACAGTCAGTCATTTCAAAATATATATATATATATATATATATATATATTGATGTTCAATAAAAAGATAAGCCTTAACCAAAAAAATAAAGTGCTGCTAAAGCTAAATCCATTGTTGAGGAGAACTTGGTCTCAGAGTTCTTCATTGGGATGGTTAAGAAAAACATTCACTCCTCCAAAACACCTGAAATAGAATGCAATCATCTATACTTGGTGGATGAAAAGAATGCTGCACCATTAATCGTCAAGAACCTCCTCTAAAAAAAATATCAACTTACCACTTTCACAGATTTAGTCGGTATGGGATACATTTAGCTTGCTGGGCGTTGTATGATATTGGTAATATCTCAAAATCCAAACATATGCTACCTAGTTGTGGACATTAAGAAATCTTGCTCTACCTTCTCCAAGTGAATGATCGACTGTGTTTGAACCCAACTAATCCCATACTGGCTAAATGTGTGTGATAGTGATAATATTCTAAAATCCGCATATATCCTCCAGTAGACGCTACTCTAAGAGAGAGAGAGAGAGAGAAACTAAAATCAGACAAGGGAAAAACGTCAAACTAATAATTAAATCATAAATAATAGGAATATCGATGCTAATTGTCTACTCTCTTCCCTGAGTCAAGCGTCTTGAATGCACGAATGTTAACTTTTAAAGCCCAGACATAATAAGCATCTGCAAGTCAAGGAACATCAACGAAGAATGGAAACTAAACAAAACGACTCGAAAAAAGAAATAGCAGGTACCAAGGTAGTCCCCAAGCATTAACAACGCATGGTAGCAAATGAGAACATGCCAGGGCAAAATCCAACAACAGGTTAAAGATAGGGAAAAAGAACCTGAGAACGGATCAATCCGCTGAGGGCAAGAGTGGTGAACTGCCCAGTATAGATGTCGTTCTCATCCAGGTGCCCGACGTTGATCTGGATGGACGCATGGTCCTTGGCGGTGATGAGTCTGTTCGTGGCCGAGCTACACAAAACACATCGAGAACAGAAGATTGAAGAAACTTAGACGAAGTACTACACTAGACGCAGCAGGGGACTGCAATGTTTGACCTGAGCGAGTGGAATTAGCTTACCATTTCCGCGGAATGTAGAGGTCCATCATCTGCCCCTCCTCGTTCTGCATCTTCTCCGGTGAAGAGGCGCTCTCAACAGTGCACAGAAACGACAGAAGAATTCAAGCGAAAACCCTGACGAAGAGAGAGCGCCAAGATTCTTCAAATTCTCAAGTCCCACAAGAACAAAAAGGGAGGAGATTCCCTAGAACGCGCTGAATTGAACGAAAAACGACAAGGGCGAAGGGGAAACTCTCTTCGTCCCGACCGAAAACCTAGATCAGAGGAGGAAGACACAGGGACAGCGCCAGGCAGAGCTCATACCTGAAGAAGCGGCGGCTGCGAGATGCAAGGGCTCAAGAGGAAAAGGAGGGATTTTTTACAGCCCAAGCCCTAAACATTTGCCACGTCGGACCCTTGATCTTAATATTTTAATTAATATTAATATTTTATAAAATAAGAAGGATAAAATAAACTAAAAAATAAAAGCCGATGATCTACCGGAGCCATCAACTACTCCACCTATTAGTCTCACTATTTTCTTTTCTACACAATTCTACGCCTTTTTTTTACACAATTTCTATTTTTACCAATTCGGCTTTTACAGAATCATCTCAAAATTTTATTTACTTTACATAATTTCATTGTATCAATCTTAAGAAATAAATAATCGGATTTCTTTAAAATGTGATAAAATAAATGGAGGAGAAAAAAGAAGGGTTCATCTTCATCCGCCGGAGCTTTCGGCGGCGGGATCCACGTGCCATTGCGGCGGCGCCGCCGTCTGTCACGTCGCCCCACACGCGTCCTCCTCGCCGGCGACCTCTTCCCACGGCGGCAATCATCCCTCTCCTTCTCCCCTATTTCTAGCCCCCAAGGAAGGAGGAGGGTCCCATGGCGACACAGAGCGTGAGGCAGCGGCCCAGGGAGGAGAGCGGCGGCGCCGCCGCCGCTGCTCCGGCGAGGAGCGAGAGGGAGAAGAAGGTGCTGATGGCGAAGAAGGGGCTGAAGACGCTGGGGGTGGCGGTGGCGGCGCCAATGGTGCTCACGCTGGGGGCGTTGTTTCTGCACGGCGGCGGCGGCGGTGCTCCGGCGGGGGCGAGGTGGAGGCCGCCAGTGTGGGCGTTCCGGATGGGGTCGCTCTCCTCCGCGTTCCTGATGGGGCTGGCGGCGTGGCTGGTGTGGGCGGAGGGGGGGTTCCGCCGGCAGCCAGCGGCGCCGCCGCTGTACGTGGCGGAGCTTCTGCTGAGCCTAGCGTGGGGGCCGCTGGTTTTGAGGGCGGGGGCGGTGAGGACTGGGATGGCAGTGTGCGCCGCCCTCTTGGCAGCGCTGCTCGGCTGCTCCCGAGCCTTCCGGCGCTGCAACCCCATCGCCGGCGACCTCGTCAAGCCCTGCCTGGCCTGGGCCTGCTTCCTCGCCATCTTCAATTATAAGCTTCTCTGATCTGATCTGCTCTCTCCTCTCTCTCTCTCTCTCTCTCTCTCTCTCTCTCTCTCTAGATATATAGACGTGAATCTATATTAAACTTATTATTGGGTTATTTATAAGCTTGAATTAATTAATCGTTGGATCAAATTATGGCGTATTAAGTGGGTTATAAGGTGAAGTCATACTATCCATCCGCAGAATATCATCTCGTTATTTCAATTAATCCCAACTTTATCTACTGACTCAAATATTTCATAATATACTACTCGAACTACCATAAACATTCAGACCAGCTAAAGCCAAAGCATATCGAAATAATCTCACTATGGAAAATAAATAAATAAATATAAAACTTATTGCATTTTTTACTCTGTCTAGTATTGAAAATTCCGGTTACGGTAACTCTAAGCTGTCCATCTAAAGCGGTAGAAACCAATCGAATCAAACTGGACAAAGATGTTCTTAGGTTCTGATAAAAAAACCCAAATCTAGAATCAAACTGGTATGAGCAAAGCGAGTAATCATGAACAGGGCAAAAGATTACGAGGCACAGATAGATACCAGTAGAAGCTAATACAACGATGTTCTTGAGTTCTGATAAAGAAAACCCAAATCTAGAATCAATAGACTTAATAACATCATACTGTAATTCTGGCACAGAAAAACTGGAGGAAGCTCATTCTAAAAGAAAATTTCCGCATCTAACCTGGTGATCCCAAGTAGAAGCAAAAGCCGAAGAACCTCATCCAGACTCCTCGGAGAAAATGCCCCTGTAGACAGAGGCGACGACAGGTAGGATACCCATGAGTGCAATCTGGAGCTGCTCAGAGGAATTTATACGGATGGTGATCTGCCCGCTTCGCTTGTTGTTCAGCCCAACTCTGGTGGTCATCTTCGTCCCACGCCCGATGGAGAACTGAGACTGCAAGTTGGCCCCCAGTGCCAAGTCACCACGCCACCTCATCAGGGACAGCCCCAAAGTGGAAAGGTCTTGCCCAATTGGGAACTCCTTGTCGCGGAGGCGGACCTCCAAGTTGGCCCCATAAGCGGCGTCTCCCTGCGCACGGACAGTGCCGGCACTGGCGACGAGGCCCAGCCTTTTCCCCACCATGAGCTCGTCCTCGACCTTCAGCCCGGTGGCCACATTCTCTCCCAGGAAGGTGACGGAGACTCCAGCAGCAGTCTTGTTCCTCCTCAGGTTCTTGAACTTGGTCTCACTGCGCAGGACATAAGCGAGCTGCTTCCCGACGGACTGGATGTCAAAGCCGGCGAGGGTGGAGCCGGTTTCCCCATGCTTTGCAGCGATTGAGGAGTCCAAATGTATGTTGAACTCCTTCTTGTCTTTGGTTATCTGGGCCGCTATCCCGGCCGGGAACTTCCCGGCGATGGCGAGGTTATCTTCGACGCTGACTCCATCATACCCACAGTCATGGTCCCATCCATGGGAGTCGAGCACCGGTCTGGAGAGGAGCTGCGATGTGGGCTCAAGGAACCGGTACCGGTAAGCAGGGTTATCACAGTCGAAGGTGGGCGGCAGGACCATGTCGGGCAAGGGAACTGGAATGGTGGCGGGGGCACCGTCCTGGTCGTAATCGCCCGCCATATCGTCGAAGCTGGAGAAGTCCTGCCCTTCCTTCTGTCTCTTCTTCATTTCCTGTGCCCTTCTGAGCTCCTCCTTCCACTGCTTCTTCTGGAGGAGCTTCACACGGTAGTCATACTCGTCATAGTAGGCTCTCCTCTGCTCTTTGGTGAGTTTGGCAATCTGGGCTTTCCTCAAGGGCTTGAACGGCGGGAGCCGGTCGTATTCATCTTCTTCCCCTTCCTCCTCCTCCTTGTCCGCCTCTGAGAGATCATCCACGTCGAAATCTGAGTCGCCGTTGTCAATCCCTTGATCAGTTGCCAGCTTCGGGTGCGCCTTGGACTGCAGAAGTGAGGACAGCAAGAAAGGCAGCGGCGGGGACCGAGTGCGGAAGCCAAATAGCTTGCTGGGAGATGGGTCTTGGAGCTTCAGAATACGATTCGCCTCTGACAGTATCTTTGAGGAGTAGCAGAGAAGCAGCAGCTGGGTCCTCCAGCTCAGGCCATTGGGAAGGATAGGCTGGCCCTCTCTATTCCTCCTGCACAAGGGATGATTCTCGACGAGGGCCACTGGATTCATCAGCCTCATGTCTCCAGCAGCCTGCCGGATCGCATGCTGAACAACACGCGATCGCTGGTTCACAAACACCTCGTAGCTCAGGGGGTTTCCACTGGACCCATCAGGGGGAGCTGAAGCTGCATGAGTGAGCCCCACAATGGCATTAAACCAAATGGATGGGCCCATGGAGACTGCAATCGACCTCAGCAGCGGCAGATCGTTGAAATCCCAGGCCTGCGTGTCGAGGCGATCAACATACAGGACGATGTCCGGCTGGCATCTCTTCGTGTGCTTCTTGATGGACTCCAGAATCCTCTTGTTGGCAGCCTGATCCATCACAGAGGGTCGGAGCCCAGGGGTGTCGATGACCCGGACCTTGACCCCGCCCACAATGCCGGTGATCTCCCTGACCGATGTTGTTGCTGGATCAAAGGCACTTGTAGAGACCTTCTGTTCGCCAAAGATGGAGTTTACTGTGGCACTCTTACCCACTCCAGTTTTTCCAAGGAGCAAGATGTTGCAGGAGAAATCCAAGGGTTCTTTGCCTTCATCTTCAAGCTGCAGAGCTTTCTTTTTTGCATTCTCAAGGCCGAATGCCCGGCCAATCTGCCTCCCACGCCTTATCCCCTCAGCAAGGCTCAGGCGGTAGAGAACCTGCTCCACCATTAGGTCTTCAGGGGAATGGCCCAGTCGGTGAACGAGACGCAAGAACTTGACCTTTATCTGGTCAACATTCTCCTGCAGCTTCTTTTCTTCCTCGTCCATGACATCCTCTTGTTCTGGTGTCACAGCGAGATCTGAGGGAGAGAAGATATTTGACCTGTTTGTGCGAGGGGCTGATGGCTTTAGAGAAGGGATGGAAGACCCTAAGCCTGCTGGCCGATCAACAGAGAAGATTCGGGTGCCATCTGGGGCAGTGAATGTGACGTCACCATTGGATGAAGCCCCAGATGCAGCCTTCAAGAGAGCAGTCAGGGCAGCAGAATCAAATAACTCCTTCCCATCATCTTCCTCATCGCTCTCATCTTCATCAGAATATGAAACAATCTGCCCATCTGCTCCATCTGAATACTCATGAGTGCTCACAGAAACATTAGTGGCGCCCAAGGATCCATTATCCAGCTGCTTCATGATACTATCGGTAGCTTCAGAGCTTTCCAATACAGCAAACTTTCCAGACTCACCAAGTTTCACATCTTCATCATATTCACTTGCCTCATTTAGACCCGCGGGCTCTCCATCATCACTGGCTTCAGAATCGTCTTCAATGGGACGTGACTCAGGAGCAGAACCCTCAGGAGCATCATTATTGGATACCATGGAAGCCTGGCTATCCGATTCATTATCTGAGTCATTGGTGACGAGAGGTGGTGGTGAAATATCCCCAGTTAAGTGTATGACACCTTCGTGGGCATCTAGCTTGGGATCCTCATCCTTGAGATCATGAGGGATTGTTGCTGAATTTTGCTTGAATTCACCTTCCCCGTCCTTTTGTAAAGCACGAGTCTCTGTGTGATGCTCAGTCTCCCCAGATCCCACTGAGTCAGCCATCTCCAGCCGTTCATTTATCTTCACCTCCACGATCCTCCCCTTTGTCTCAGAGGAATCAAGATCTTCCTTCTCCTCAGTGTATTCGCCATTCTCTTCTATCTCAGAAGGTTGGTGTTCATGAGATTCACTTTTCTCTGCAGTGACTTCTGATTCTTCAACCTCAGGTAGTAATTTTACAGGCACCTCAGTGGCAATTGGCTTTTCTTCTTCAGATTCATTACGTGGTGGCTTTACATCATCCTTTGGCCCATCTGCAGTGCCAAAATCGGACAATGGCTTCATTGCAGCTTCCTCAACTCCACTGCCGAGGTCTATAAGCTCTTCATCTCCAGAATGCTGTACAAGAGCAGCAGCAGCAACATCCATGCGGTCAGCATCCCCATCAGCTGATCCGAAGGGAGCAGATGACTCAGGTTTTGCAGCCAGAACATCCAGGCCTTCAGGAGGGATGCTCTCTTTTCTGGCCTCATCTACCACAGGGTCCTTAGGTAATGTTTCTTCATGATTGGTCTCGGGCTGCAGTGGAAGATCCTCCAATAGATCGGCAGGAACAGACAATCCGGTTGAAGGAGCTGGAATCAGTAGGTCTTCTTGAAGCTCTCTCTCCTTGCTGGCCTCATCTCCTACAGTGTCAGAAGCCAAGGTTTCCTCACGACTGGTCTCACCCTCTGGGAGGACAGGCAACTTGGTTGAAGGCGCCGGGACCGCCTGAACTTCACGAGGCTCGCTCCCCTTGAGCGAGGTTTCTTCATGACTGGTCACATCTGCCTCTCCCGATGTCTCCTCCTCCTCAGGCTCCAGAGTTTCGCTATTGCCGTTCGAATGCGGACCAGATTCGACATCCCTGGAACTCTCCCCTTCACCGGAATCACGGAGCTTCTCCACTGAAGGTCTCCCCACCACCGCCTCATCATCATCATCATCAGCAGCAGCAGTAGCAGCAGAAACATCATCGTTATCTGCCAGGCTGTCATCGAACAACTCCTCGGTAGCATCGTCGTCTTCCCCGGAGACCGGCGCCTTCGGCATGGAGGAGACCTTCTGGAGCAACACCGTCGGCACGCCGTCGCCGCCGGCGACAAAGGGGCGCTTGGAGACGTCTTCGAAGTCGGCGTCCTCCTCCCCGCTGAGGAAGCACTCCTCCTCCTCCGAGTAAGGAGAAGACACCGCCGGGAGTTCGCTCTCATCCGGCGAGGTGACGGGGGCGCGGATGAGGAAGGGTCCGGAGGACGCCGCCGCCGGCGAGACAGCTTCCGCGCTCATGCCCTTGTCCATGGCGCACCAGCTTCCCGCTGCAGCAGCCGCGGCAGCTGCAGAGGAGGAAGGATAGCGAGGGAGATGGCGGTGGGATAAGGCACAGTGGAGGACGAAGAAGAAGAAGGCGGGGGGGGGGGGGGGGGGGATAAGGCAGTTGTCGAGGGGGTGCCGTTTAAATCTCCGGCTCTCACTGAGGGTCCATCGAAAAAATCAGGGTCCACCTTTCACATGCCGTCGGATGCCAATCCGACGGCTCCGGGGCCAAATTCGGGAACCATCATCTGGAGGCTAGGGTTTTGATCTACACAGGCCACGACACTGGGGCTCCATCCAACGGCTATCGTCTTCGTAAGAATTAAATAAATGCGTCCATTAACCATAGCCACAAGTTTTTACAAAGGGTGAGTTCATATCTGCCCACATCTCACAACATTTACAAGCCCGAAATAATCCGGTATATCCGGGTAAGTAGAGAGAGAGAGAGAGAGAGAGAGAGAGAGAGAGAGAGAAATGGGAGAAACCCACAAGTTTGGATGGAGTATGGCGGAGAGAGAGGAGTGAAAAACAACAATTCCACTCGAACACACCTACAATGGCTCCATCAGAGTCTGGTCTCATCCTAAAACAACACTTCCATTGGCCCAATAATGGAAATATGCACATATATACATACACCTGGAGGAGAGAGAGAGAGGATTTTAGAGAGAGAATGCATAGATGGAGGTGAGAAGACACGGCATTCCCATGACACATTAAGAACTCATGGAGATGATGATGATGATGATGATGATGATAGGTAACAAGCTGCATCAATAACTCTCCCATACAAGAAATATACATATGCTACACACATACATATGCACATATAAACGAACACATGGAAAAGAAAGTGGGAGAGGGCGAGGATTTTAGAGAGAGAAATACATAGACAGAGTGGAGAGGCATCGAAGACGTACCATTCTCTTGGTACATTAAGAACCAATGAAGATGATGATGATGATGACGATGATATGTAACAACAAACATCAAGCTTTCAATATAGTGTATGGCTGAACGATTCAACTACCCAAGAAACCATTATCGCTTTCAATGGATCAACGAACAATCAACTCTCTGCAGCAGAACATAGAATTATCGACAGCTCAGTTTCCATAACATATCAGAGCAGGGGCAGAAGAGGATGAATCGCACTCCAGAAACAGAATGCATTGCTCAACCGATATTATCAATTTTCTGCAGCACATGAACATAGAATTATGGGCTGCTTAGTTTCTATAAGAAAATTATCTGCAGCATATTAATATAGAATCATCAGCAGCTTGGGTTTCTATACCTGGAAACTATTCTGATCAGGATTAGTGCATTTGGGTAAGCTGAAGAAGGGGCGCGGGCCTCAAACTAGCTGGACGACGGCCACGACACGCAGCGCCCCGCCCTGGAGGAGATCTGGGAGCTCGTCAAATAGCAGGGCTGTGCGCCATCCCCAGCCCTTTGGGGCCTTGGGGAGTAATGTCCCAGAGTCTTTGAAGCTCCCAAAAACCATCACTTCCCTCTTTGAAGGACAGATAAGCTGGAGAGCAGAGGCGTCAGTGATGGGTAATATTTAACTTTATATTTTTTTAAAAAAAATTAAAGTGGACAAGATAATGGCGGTGCTACCGTGCCAGGTAAGCATGAAGCCCAGTTTATTTTTTTTACTATTTTGGGTTCCAAGGTTATGCTGATAACTAAAGAATAAGACAGTTCAACCATATATGGCAGCTAGTTATCAGGTACAGTTATCTAATCAATCTGTTTGGAAGGGCATGATCTAACCCCTAACGAGGAATGTGATCTTATCACAGATAATTGTACCTGATAACGAGCAGTGACTTTCTCCCGTGAATCTACATACATATGAACCTGTCAAAAAAAAAAAAATTAAGATGAAAGTAAAAGAAGCAGCAGAAGAAGATAGGGTTTTGTCATATTATCTCCATAGTTCTGTACTAATTCAGGAAAAATTACCTTCTTCAGGGACTCTGTTGCCTCTGCTTTGCGTCGGTGGAGAAAAAGACCTAATAAAAAAAATTCACGTACCAAAAAAGAAATAAAATACCCAATCTTTCCATTTTATAGAGGATATGATTATAACGGAAACGGACATCACTGCTTCATGGTGATGCAGCTTGGAAGTGGTTGAACCTACCTAGGGTCCGACGTCCTTGAGGGTATTCATTATTGAATGCCTGAACACTAACCTACAGCACAAAAACGGTTAAGTAGTTGAGATCGTAGGAGTTGAATTCGGTCGAAATATGGCACCAACATGAGATGTGAAAGCTTGAATAGCATGTCAAACCTTCCATAAAGAACCTGCATAGAAAGCCTCTGGAGAGTGCTTCACTTGCCCATCAGCTAGTCGATGTACATCCTCAAATTCTACCCTGAGAACCATAAAATGGAAAGGAGGAGATATAAATGATGAGAAAATATGAATGCAAGAAAAATATTAACGAACTACGCGGGATATTGTCATACGAAATAAAAAAATACGTCATAAGTATTTAATATGCGCAATAGTGTTACTTCAAAATCATTCCCGTTCGTCCAATTATCTTCTCTATTGCATGAAAACTACCTAAAATGTCCGCAGTTTAACTCGAATTAACGATGTATGTGAATAATCTGGTGGGAGATTTCATAAGGTCCAAGCAGCATAATTAAGTTAAAAGCCATCTGGAGGCTTTTTCTCCATAAGCTGCTCTGCGGATGAAGAGACTTCCTCAAAAAGGTATTGAAAAACTATGTAGGGAAGGGAAGCCTCGCAAAGACAGTGTCACATGATCCTCACACTGATTGCAAGGTCCGTTTAGGCCTGCAATTAGCTTCTCTGAATCGAAGTAAATGTTTCAACCTCCATTCACTTTGACAACCCATTTCATTCCCACGATTATCTGCCTTTTTTTGTGAGATTCAGCATATTTACCTAGCACCAGGCGCCAAGAGGTATATGAATCAATGATCCAAACCTTGGCCCTTCATCCCTTGTAAGCAAATCGTAGCAGCACTTATGTTATCTCTGGCAGCCCTTATCTTTCCCTTGTTATTTACCCTTTTGATATTCCAAGAGAAAATCCATATTCCATATTCCTCATCTCCCCCGGCAATATATCAATAAATGTTGAATACGATCTTTGATCCTTCATTACTCGTAAGCAATTCGCAACAACACATGCCGTTTCGGACAGCTCTTATCTTAGCCTTTTTACTTATTTTTCTGATATTCCAAGAGAAAATCAATATTCAACATTCATCATGTCCCTCCGCCAGTCTGGAACAAAGATGTACTTACAACTCACAATTTCCTATCTACCCTTGAAAGAAACAATGACTTTCTCCAAAAAAAAATGGATTTCCTCTTCCAATTCCTTGGTTTTCTTTACCTCAATGCATCAACGTTATTTATAATGGAATAAAATTTGATGTTTTGTTGACGTAATGTTCCATCTTTTCCAACGAATCGAAAAGAGTCTCTTCCCAACTCTTGGCCACGCATTCCTTTGTTCAAATATTTTTCTTTCCTTAGAATAAACTTTCAAGTAGCCATGTTTTGATCCTATGCGAAATAATCTATACTTCACTCAAAATTTTCAACAGGGCAATCGAGATTTATATAAAATGTGCTAGGAAGCAAACAATGACAGTACCGCACATTTGGTGCTCTTTTTCCAAACCAGATATTAGATGTAAATCGTTGGAGTGACACGATAAGGGAGATGCAAGGGATTTAACATCTTCTTCAGAATAGTCCACCCAACCCACAAAGACCATTAGGACTCTATGCTGTATGATTTATCCCAGTTTGCATTTTAGCAGATACAGCACTTGCACCGCCCATATAGCCAGACCAGCCAGAAACATCCCAATCTCTTACACCAATCCTGATCATTTGATTGCACGTTCTAATTGAATAAGCGCGCCCCTAAGAGAATGTGCTCAAATAAAATCATCTCTGGCAGCACAAAAATGGAATAAACCCAGAAGGGAAAACAGCCTAGACATTTGCAGCATTAAGTTCATTACATACAAAAAATTGGCCAATAACAATTCAAAAATATTATTTTCCTCTTCAGTCCTCCAGACACTTCTCCCAAGTTTCTGAGTCAAGATGAAACCCCTCTGATACGCTAATGCTTACCTCCAACGAGATTAAAAATATACGTTATTCTCTGATAAAAATATGGCATCACTTGGATGGAACTTAAACATCCCTGGGTTTTAGTATCTGACGATCGGACCAGACTCTTTTTATGACACTTATTTTCGTAATAGATGAGGAAGAAAAAAAAAACTATGCAAGTTTAAAAACATGCCTAAGAAGAGCATTATCGTTATGGTAACATACCAAGGTTCAAAAAATAATATTACAGTGATGTGATACCCTCAACATAGGGATATCAGTATACACTTTGGCAGACAAGGCAACACATCAAAAAGCACGAGATGAGAAAAGAATCATACTAATATCGATATTATCAGTTCATTGCCAAATGAAAAATATTCAATATCAATAAAACAGAGAAAATCAACCAAATAAACATGCAGAGATCAATGATTATAGAATAAAAAATTAAATAAATGTTCGATACTAAGATGTAATTTGTAATAGGCAGATGCTACCCAAAGCGAAATGGTGGGAAGTGGCGAAGTGCTGTTTTCAAATCCCATGAGACAGATGAAGCATCTGAATCTTCCCAACCGATCCCAAGACCATTCTCCTGAGGTTCCATCATCTGCATTGAGATCCCACTCGTGGTTGGAAAGGGAGGAGCTGCACCTAACCCTCTCTGCAGATCAGTTTCATATTCATCTGATTGTTCTGCATGAACAGGAAGAGCATTGCTTCCTCGACTAAGCCCAACCAAAGCTGTTAAACCATCTCCAGTGAGGTCCCCCGTTACATCAACCCTGGCTTCTGATTCATCATTGGCAACCGACTGATGACTATTTCTGTTGCCAACTCCAAGAGGAACACGAGAAAAAACCAGTCGGGTTGGGGGCCAAGCCGCTCCAGGAACAAATGTGGTTCCACGGCCTATACCAGCAAGTCCATCAATAGGACCCCTTACATGAACACGTACAGGACCAAAGAGCCCGTTTCTTTCACCTTGAGCATCTGTGATGTACACGTTCCCCATTGTCTGAGGTCCATTACTTCGGCTATGCTCTTGCTTGTAGTACCCCCCACTATTACATCCATGTGAATACCCATACGGTTGCCGACATGTACATTGTGTAATTGTAAGGCAACAGGTGATGCAAGTATCAGCTGCAATTTCTTGTACCCGGTGGCTTAAAAGCATCTGCATAGAAAAAAGCAATCTCAGCACAAGTGCTACATTAGGGATCCTGTCTATTACAGTAAACTAGAAAAAGGTTGTTGACAGGAGACATTTACAAAGGTATGGTTGAAGCCCCTGGCCTAAAATGTATTAGGTGATTTAAGGAAGCTTTTGATGGCTAACCTGTAGCCAAAGTCCGTCATTAACAGTTTTGCAAGGAAAGCCCAACTCTTCAAGTTGCTTTCTCACATTCAGAAGTGCCTCAAAAGACATGTGAGAGTATAAAAGGGAACCCCCTTCAAAGATGCTGCTAAACGCTTCATATTCTTCACCCTGTATAGCAGAGATTCCCTTTATTGATTTGACGTGCCTCTGGCCAATTTTTCTTTCACCCCATGGAGGAGGCACATCGGATCTTCCCCAATCAGGAGTGCTTCCACTGCAGGATGTGCTTACTGAAGAGGAATTTCTTGATTGTTCCCTGGAAAGCCAGATATCATCTGCCAATTGACAATGTGTGTTATCATCTGATGGACCTTCAATCAATGAGATGTCGCCTGATATTCTGCTTCTTTCAGCACAATTATGTATGTCAGTATGAGAACAAGATACGCTAATTGCATCAGAACATGAAAAAGAGTTATTCAGGGAAGCAACATTTTCGACTTTGCACGAGTATCTTGGGTCCAATCCAGTTAGCGATGTCAGTGTCTGTCCCACAGGTGTTGAGATGGAGGAAGGAGCATTAGCTTCATAGTTCATCACACATTTTGAAAGATCAACCAGGAGATTCTGTCCAGCTTGATAACCCTCCAGGGCATTGTCCTGTAAGTTCATGCACTGTAATTCTGATTCCATAAGTTGTTTGCCAGTCCTACCGTCATCCATCTTCTTTCCCTTCAACGAAGAAGAATCGCCCATGCTTAATCCTGGTTCACATGCTGAGTGGCTGAGCTCAGAGCTATTTTCTTCAGTAAATGCATCTCTTGCAAGCAATGTATACAATGCCAATTCAAACCTGAAATAAAATAACAATAACGTCGCAGAATAATCCCATATAACCATAGGATTGAATATATGATGACATAAAGCACTCTTAAGATACCGTTTCTCCTCATTAGACACCCAAAGTTCGTCTGATGTCAGAAGAGCATGTAACGTCTGAGAAGAAAGTCTAGGAAGCACCTAGTTATCACGAAATCATATTCAGTCGTAGGATGAATGAAACGGGCACAAGATACATTTTTGTCATAATATTTTCTGATTAAATGAACAGGAAAATAAGAAAAAATAGATAAAAGCATTTGACAGGCCAGGTAAAATACAACTGAAACGTGAAAACAAAACCACTAAAATGAAGTGTCAGCATACCCAAGTAAAAATTAATGTGTAGGGTGAAAAGCACGACCAAATGATATTAAATCCCTCCCAATCCCTTCCCCTCCTGTTTTTTAAAACTCCAGTTTGCACTCCCTCTCCCTTTTCAGTTTCCACTACCCCTCCCTATCCAGTTCTTAAGTGCCCCTCTTCCCCAGCACCCCAACCAACCATGACTCCCTTGTCCACTCACCTCACCATGTTACCCATTTACAGAGCCACTGTCGTTGCACCCCCCCCTATACCCTAAACATTAGCCACTGCCACTCAAAAGCATCAAGACCTGTAGTGCCCACTTTTCTTTGTCTCATTCTTAATCACTCCCTATTTTTCTATAGTATTCTTCCCTAAACTTGAAACAACAGTCTAGTCTGTGTCCTAATTTGAACAATTAAAAGATATTATATCAAACGAACCAAGCTCAGAACCATGCTCTTTATGGACTACCTAGAACTTGAATTCAATCCAAAACCAAACCATGGTAAATCAGCTCTCAATCAAATATCTGACCTATTTATTTAATTAAAATCAGCGATTCTATGCCCTACTGTTTGGTCCTAGATCATTATTTCGGACCAACTCTTGATCCAAAAAGGAACAACCCCAGTGTACTCGGCTTCTGAAAATATTACAACAAGGTTTCAGGAGCAAAAAGGTAATACCAACGTCTGGCTCATCATGGATCATGGATCTACAACTATTTTAAACACTCCACTGGATTAGATTAAATACAACATTGGAAGAAAATTGGCCAGTGAAATGAATCAGTTCGGTTGTCACATCACTTAAAAATTATCACTAACTTTGCAGGTTTGGGCAACTTTCATTTAGAGTAAATATGAAAACATTTTGGTTCATAAAGTTAAAATAGAATGCTAGATTTTTCATAATATGATAAAACAATCACACCATTATCTTTGTCAATCCCACAGTTAGTGAAACGAAGAAAATTTAAGTTCATGAATAAAAAAGGTTTAATTCAGTGGCTATAGCACCCGATTCCAGCTATAGGCCGATTGTAGTGGATCTATGATCTTTAAGAGACAGACGTATATAGGCGCTTCTATTATAAATATTGCACTCAAATATTCGAAAAAAATATTGAGAGCCAACAAACAAAGGCTTATAAGAACGCGATTATTTAGAAGTGTCTCCTGAACTGAGAATGAACCTCATTGGGCCAAGATGTCAAAAACAGAATAAACTTCAAAAATACGAGAAAATTTTTCAATAGAGTTCTAGAATGAGATAAAAAGGCTTTAGGAAAGCATTTAGAAAAGATGCCATAATAGTGGATCACACCTCTCTCAGCTCCATGGTACCACACTGGCATAAATAGCCCCAGCAGGCATTTCTCACACGCTCTCCATGTATACCGTAATCTTGGCTCTCTGCGAATATCTGGATACGAGATAAATGTTAAAGATCAGGGGAATTCGCCCGACATTACGCAGTTAATGGTTACTGTGGACAAAATGTTCGACCTGATATGCTAAAAAGTTGGAAGTCCATAGCTCAGAAATGATGAAGTCCGTGCAAATCCCACATAAATCCTGCAGCGTGAGGAGAATGATATGACAACGAAAACCTCTAAAGACGCAGCATTATAAGTTACTTCGATGGATATTGACGAATGGGTACCTGAAGGTCGAGATAGGAAGCAACAGCTAGAACACGGAAAGCATTTCTGTCATTGAGCTTGGGATAATGGCCGTACAAGTATGCCAAGGCCATTGTAATTGCCTCTGAACTGACATTGTCGTCGTCAATGTTTAAGTTCAGCGTGGGGGCTCCAGCCTCTTTCCAAGGTCCATGAAGCATGTTCCTGCCAGATACAGACATGAGTTTGCAAGGACTTTTGAAAATGAAATTGAGGTACCTTCTCTGATTCTGCCCAACAGCGCCAAATGGCCACAGATGACCACAGCGTGAATCATTTGGCGTTAATTTTCCGTTTACTGAGGAATATAAGCAACTAGCCACAGTGACAGGCAGAGGAGCAAGAGTGATCGAGAGAGGCGTCCGATGGAGAAGGGTAAGCGAACCTGAAATAGGAGCTTCGAGAGAGGATGAGCCGGTGGAGATGGTAAGTGGTACCCATGGCCTGGACAATAACGTCGGAAAAGATCCCGGCGGTGAACCCTTCCACCTGGATGTGCTCGCAAAGCGCGGTGAGATTGCAATCCAGAGCCCGAATCTCGGCGACGCTCCGATCGCTCTCCATCGGCGCCGCCTGCTGTTGCTGCCTCTCCGCCGGCCCCTGCCCCCGCTGTTGATGCTGCTCCTGCGACTGGGGAGGCACAGCCATCGGCATTCCACCAGAATCACCTCGCACAAAGAGATCCCCCCGCAGTGGCAAATCACGCCTCAGCCCATCGCAACGCCTACGGCGGCGCGATCCCGGAAGGTCTCCTCCCCCCCGCTTTTGAGAGCTAGATGGTGATAGAGAGAGAGATAAATAGATAGATAGCGAGAGAGAGAGAGAGAGTAGCAGGATCGCCGGCGGGTGCTGCCGTGGGGACGAAGACGCAGAGGAGATGTACCGGCGGCCTGGACAACCAACCCCGTCCGTATGCTATGTGTAGGAAAGAACACTTCTCTATTCGTACGTTTTAATTTTCACCGCCATCGTACGCACAGGGCCTATACGAGTGATGAGATACCCGCTCACGCCCAGCATATATCTTGAAAATATCGAATATCAGTATTATATATATAGAAATAAATATATTTTACTTTTTCACTAGGACGCATCGGATTTGAAAAATTAATAAAAAATGTGGCTCTATGTCCGCTCATAGGAGCCCACCACCCTTCCCCTTTCAACCCCTCTACCTTCTTATGAAATGATCGTGGCCGTCCGATTGTAATCATGACTAAGCCTCCGGTGAACCTCAACCATGGTTAGAGAGAGAGAGAGAGAGAGAAATGGAAATACATAAATATTACAAAGTAGATACCCGATTAGAAAATAAAATGAGCACCTATATAAGTGTATTTAGTCCATCAAAGCAACATTTTCCAAAAATATCCCTAAGCATGAAGAATACTGTGCAGCATAGAGAGAGAGAAGGAAATATTTAATGTTATGATATTATAGAAGGAGATACATTACAATTTGAAATTAAAATGGGCATATGGAAAAATAGCACTCACATATTATTTATGGATAACGTTTCATGGTATTTTTATTGGTGTAGAATATCGCGCAAAAAAGAAACTAAAAACACTTTCAAATATGAAAAATATTTTTATCAAGTATTGGTGTAAAAAATAATTGTGGAAGATAAAAGGGATTTTTGAAAAATCTCATATTAAATAAAATATCTTATTTAGAATAATATAAAAGTTGGGTCGGGATTTTCAAATAAATCCCTTGGTTATTTCGGACCTCTGTGGAGTTTGGTCTGTTGGTTCCCCTTCCTCTCTGCGCCAACCAGTGAAGAGTCGTCAATGGGGAGGGAGGAGGAGAGGAGAGGACGAGGAAGGGGAGGAGGGCGATGGTGAAGCTTTGTACGTCCCTCGGCTTCGGGGCGGCTCTGGCCTTCTCTCTCGTTTGTTCCTCCTCCTTCTCTCTCACTCCCAGCAGGTCCTCTCTCAGATTCTCGTCTTCTGCCTCCGCTGCTCCACCGAACCCGCCGCCATGTCCGCAGAGGCTCGCTGCGGATCTCCTCTCCATCCTCGGGACGAGGAATGAGGCCGCCGCCGTCCCCAAGAGGGAGGCCGGACGGATCTGGTCTTGCCTCAAGTTTCTCGTCCCCTTCTCGCCTGTTCCTGGCGGCTACCTCCGTCTCCGAAGTGAAGCTCCCCGCAACGGAAGGAGAATCCACGGCGGCCCCCGAGCAGAGGAGGACGAGTGGATCAGATGGCCGCCGGAGCCGGTCTTGGACCTCGCACGCATTGCGGTGGACTCGGGCGGCGACCCGGCGGCGATCCAGATGGCTCTAGATCCCAGCGTGTTGCAGGTGAGTAGAATTACTGATCATCGTTACTGGGACCGCGTAATGCTCAGTGCAAAAAATTTAACCAAATGAATCATTAATTCATGATTTATCGGTTTTGGCTCTCTACATCTAACTATCGTTGACCTTTAAACAGTGAAGTTAGCGTCACACTGATAATGGCGTGGGATGCTAATTCAAATGTTCCCTTTGGATTAGATACCCGATGTAGAAGGATTGAAGAAGGACCGGTGCGAGCTGACGAGAACGCCTTATGGAAGACGCTTTATAAACGAGGTTTCTGCTGGAAGAACGCATAAAGTTTTCATACTGAAATTAATTGTAGTACAATCACGAAATATAAATAATTTTTTTTATCTTAGCAATAACTTTAAATCTGTGATTGTCTGCGTTTCAGGATTTGAATGCATATCTCGCGTTCTTATTCGAACTGATTGCTGATAGGAGCCCCCTGGTGGGTTTGAACATATCATTGAATCGCTATGACTTGTTTCATGGGCATATTTTTCTCGCCGCCAGCACTGGAAGGCTTGGTATATTGTAAGTTAAGACGCCTCTTTCATCTCGTTCGAGTATGTTCTAGCATTCTCATTCATTGATCCAGAGATCTGTAAGTGCTTAACTCTAGATAGAGGATTTCAATCTACAGAGAGTGCACAAGCACATCTCTTTCTGACGTCTGAGATAACGTGCAATAATATTTCATGACTTTAGGATTATAAGGTGTTCAGAAAGAACATTTGGTGAATGCTCTTTGGTAGGGATATCAACGTCGGTACTTCTGTACTCTCATGATTGTTTAAGATCAGCGTATGGCCTTTCATCTTCTAAATATTCCGAGGGCTCTTGGAACCACATGTGTTAGTAATTGCCAGTTTCTTTTAAATCGGAATCTCCTAGAACATTAAATATTAATATTTTATTTTATAAGTTGTGGGAAAATAAGTCTTATTTCTTACTGCATTTATTCAGCTTGGTTGGGCGAGTGTTAGAGTGGAATCCTTTTTTCTTTTGTATGATTCAACAATAAAACAAAGAACTAGAACTAATGATAGGTCTTGTTAACGCTGAGAAACGATATAGGAGACATATTAAAAAAAAATTGGTAACTTGCAGTCATTATCTTCCCCCCCTGACGAACAAGCTTAAGTCAAAATACTAGTAAACTCCTTCCGTAGAGGTTGCTTCAATTCTCAAAAATAACTCTCTAAGTCCGTGGCTACAGAGTTGGTGTTTCATTTGGGAAAATGGACTTCATTTTAAAATGCCGACTCAGGATTAATTATCTGGTATTTGTATATAAAAAATATCGTCTAACTGAATTTATGTGTCCGCAGCATCCTAGCTATTTCTTCAGCTAGGGGTTTGCTAAATATATATTTGGCATAAAGAATAAATACCAGCTTTCTTGGCGTGATTTAATCGACAGGTTTCATGCCAGAGAGTATCCTGCATATGAGAAGGAGGTATTTCCCTACAATATGGGCTGCTGTCAAAGGGGTAAGCGTCTGCATTTTGTCTCATAATATTATTATTATACCTAATTATTTCCATGGTTTACTTCTCCATAGCTATAAACTGTCGTCCATGTGACAAATACATTAGCTTTTTATGGCAGGGTCTTGCGTAGTGTATGATGATTCAATGAATCTACGGAATATCCTGTGGTTGGCTCCATTGCCTAGTAACCAGACAAAAGCTTGGTTGGCACCTGGTAAACATCCCAATTTCTGAGAATTTAATCATTTTGCCAAACTAAAAGAAAAGGAGCATGTACCGTGACTCAGTTCCACTATCCGTTTGCGGTTAGATCTTTGTGCAAAAGCAGTGCCTTTGTTCTTTTTTCCTCCCTTGTTTGATGATTCTTTCCTAACATTCAATCTATACCTTTTCGTGCACGCAAATAACATTCATCATTAGGGTTAATTTTCTGCCAGTTCATATGAACATCAACCATGGCCTCCTTTATGAAGATCAAGCTTCATCAGGGAAGGTTATTGAGAGAACTAGCGGTTAAGTTGTCGCTGATAATCGCTGTTGCTCCAGCTTCGGCCTCCTTACTGAAAGCTCGAGGTTCCGATAACCTCCTCCTTTGTTGCCCACGGAATATAATATTTCATTCTTTTTTACTCAACAAATTGCTATCAACAGAAACTCACCCTGGTGCGAAAATATGGGTTTTACTTTAGATCAAACCTCTTAGATGATAGTGGGATATCCCCCCACAAGAACTTCTCCCAAGTGCACAGTTTTTTTTTCCTCTCCATCCGAAATAGCATCTTGGTCCTTGATATGGCTATTTCCTTATCGGCAAACATGGCAAGAAAGCTGACGTCAAGATAATGTCTCTTTGATAGTAAAATCTATCTTGTTATGGTTCTCCCTCAGATGACGAGGAATTAACCAAGCATGGGGGTCTCCAAACAGCATGGGTTTCTTTTGGTAGTATGCTTTCAAACCTATTGTAGTAATCTCCGAATAATTATCATAACTTTGGAAATATGTCCTTGCTGTGTCTTAGGTGTTCTGGTTGCTCTGGATGCTCACCCTGGAGGAGCCATTTATGAGTGTTTGGTTTCAGAGTATGTAGACTACGTGAGGACAATTTATGAAGGTTGAGACCCATATATCTTAAATATATCATGTTCTCTACGGTTATGTTTTTTGTATTTGACTTCTCTCGTGGTGATGGTAACCAGGTGACTTTGGAGACATTGTGGCCGACATCAACTATTTCAACATAGGCAACGTAAACTCCAGTGAAAGGATCTTCATCTGCTAATATTCTGGTCACCCTTCATGTACCGTTGCCATTCTTGGTGAGCTAAAAGCTCTACCATTTCAAGAGCAAATAACGCTAGCTTTTGGCCTGGTTGATCCTTAATATCCTACGGTTGAGTCTAGCTGGTGTTTCTATGTTTAGAGAGCCAAATCCTGAACATTATGCTATATAAGATCATGGGAGAAGTTAGAGTGAAATAATTCTGAATGATGTGCAATGGCTACATTAGTGAGATTAACATCTTCCTATGGTAATCTTTCTCATCTGTAACTTATTCAACGGTTCAAAATTGTTTCAGAACAAGAAGGTCGGAAAAGGCAAAGAGATGTGCATGATTCGTGTGCAGTCGTCCGTCGACATCTATCATACCTCACCAAAAAAAGTAACCTCTGTCCTGGGTATGGATGAAGATTGTGTTGCTTCCCACCTGTAGAAGCCAATGAGGCATCCTAAGATGAAGCCCAAGGGGACCTGACGGGATGGGGTTGAGAGGTTGACCTTGTGAGATCACTTGGGGAAGTTCCTCTTCAAAAGCCTGGGGCAGAGTCAACTCTCCCCACATCTCTGGAGCTTGTGGCGCCATTGGGTTTCTCCACTTCATGGCCAAGGAGATGTTAGTCAGTATGGTGTATTATTCATCCGGACGAGGATAACTCTTCAAAGACTAGTGATATGATTCTAAACACCATGGCTCAAATACCCAAGGCATGATTCATTTCAATGTCATATCTATGTAGATATACACTTACAGTTTCTTCTTATTATTTGGCAGGGACTGAAAATGGAAGACTTGGGTCAACAACAAAAAAAAGAAAAAACCGAAGCAAAGGAGGTCATGGGCAGAACCCTAACCTTCATCATCGCTACCCTCAAGATCATCACCCATGCCAACTCTCATCCCTTCCATGCCAGCAGATTTCTGCATACGAGAAGCAAAATCACTGAGATATGATCTCCAGTCACCCGGATTACAGTCGTTTGATCACTTTTTATCATACTGAGAAATCCATTCCTCACAAGTCCAATTCACCGGCACCTGGTAGAAAAAATGAAGGTACATTCAATAAAATCTTAACCACAATCCATAAGGCTGTTTTTTATGAATTTTTTTACGGAATCGCATGCAAACAGAAATAGCAATTCCATCATAAAACTGAGAGACCCAAATGTGGTTGGAGCTAATTTCAGGTGTCTCTCTCTCAAAATTAATGGTAGCCCGGCATAAATGCGCATTAAACTATCCGGAAAGATTTCCCCCTTTGCTTCATGCTGCAACCTAAGCACCTCTTTAGTTAGAATTTCCTAGCTTATTTCTTCAATTAGAATTTCATAACTTATTTATTTCATTAGAATTTCATAACTTATTTCTTTCATTAGAATTTCATAACTTATTTCTTTCATTAGAATTTCATAGCCCGGCATCATCTTCCAGTAGCCAGCATTTCGTTGAGAAAACTAGAATGAGGCCAACCTAAACAAAAGCCAAGATCATACATACCACACTACGAAGGCATGATGGGCCATCCATGCACCTTGAAAGAGGCAAAGGTCCAAGAAATGGCAGCTAATTTCCATCCAATCCAGACAGAAAAAGCACCCAGCCTACATAACCAAGTGAGATCTCTACCTCGTATGCTCAGTTTTCTCTAGTTAGCCAAAGTGAAAAGAGGCCAACAACATCCAGAGAAAACGAGCAAAACGGTGAAAAGGATGGTGAATTGCAGATCCAGAGAAACAATAAGAGAGACGGAGCGGGAGCGGAGGCAAACCTCATTCTGTCGTCGAAACGGGAACTGGGTCACGGAGAAGTTGGCAAAACCCTCGAGGATGCAGGTAGAGAGGAAGTGATGTCGGGGCCCAGTGGCTTCTAGCAGCTTCGCGAGAATGCACTGTTGGAAGAACCTATCGAGGGGGCGGAAGGTAAGAGAGAGAATATTGGTAGTACATATATATCCCTGCCCAACGTCGTATTACATTTATGGGCTTGTTCGGTGAATAGGGGCCCACTAAATTTTTGGTAGAAAAAAGGAGATTGAATAATAAGTTGACGATCACTTTCCTAAGTATATGTTGGCCCTTCGATTTCATCCCCACCAAGGATTATAATATATAAATAAAAAAATTGACCTATTTATGTGCTATTAAATTTTGAAAAAAATTGATAGTCATTCACTTTTAAATGTCTTATTAATCATACTCGATAATTTCTTTTCTTTATAGAAAATGAGCCTAGAAATAAGAAGTTGTGGGTGAAACATTTGGTTTATTGATCGTCTAAGCGGCTAAGAAGTTGTGGGTGAAACTTTATTCTCAAAATTTTCTTTTAGGTTCATAATTCTAAGAGGCTAACAACTAATTACAAAGTTTAGCTTCTAATAGTGATTAAATTAAAATTTATTCACTATTTTTTTCTAAAATTATAAAGGTGAATTTCACTGTGAATTATTTTCAAAGGATGATGTCAATTTGATATATGTCTAGAAATTCGATGAAGAAGATGATGATTTGTAACTTGACTTTTTTTTGTCATCTTCTTGTCCAAATGTTAGATGATTGTAAAATATGTTCTCACTTTAGTTTGGTTGAAGAAGATCTCATATAACCTAAAATTTATCCTTTTACTCATTGACTTCTATTTCTTGATTAGCTAAGAAGATCATTAAAAAAACACATGTAATTTTTATAAAAAATATTAACAAAACTCATGAGATGATAGACAATAAGAGATGATTGTTCATAACTAAGTAGCCATTAGAGAGGTGTTGAATTTATAGATAAGTCCTATTTTCAATTTCTGCTTAATTTATATTCAATTAATTAAGTACATAGTTATGAAATATTTATTTATGAATCAATTTTGTGATCAATAAGTATATTTGATCTTTTAATTAGCGTATGTGTGTTCGTTAACACCAAAATGATATTGATATAATGCTTCAATAATAAAAGTAATTATTCTAATATAGAATGCTTGATTCAATTATATTTCAAGTACATAGAACTTAACTAATCTTTGAGGTCATTCTTTGGAGATATTGTCAACTATCAAAATGTGATCAAGGATCTAGAATAATTTTTCACAATGTAACAAAACAAATGAGCATAGTGGAAAACATCTCATTGGAAAAGAATGTATTTTAAAAAAAGTGACAATTCAATGTGCAAATTATTCAAATTTTAATTTAAAAATATGCTGAATATGACAATCTTGAGATAAGAATATTCATGATTTAAACACAAAGTGAGTCAAGAGCATATAATATGAACCACCCAACACAAACTTTTGCAACATGATTAGTTGAGGAAAAAAACCTGTTGGGCAAGTCACATGATGGAACAATTATTGTATTTGGATATAATCGATATGCTTGGAAATTAATCTAGTGAAGACTTCACAATAATTTTTATGAATGTGAGAAGTATACTTAAACAATGGGTGGAACACTAAAGAGACTAACCTATCAATCTCAGGTATATATTTATTTATTTCATGGTTCAACGAACTTTCCTCCATCATGAGACTATCGTGAACTACTTTCTAACATATGAATGTATATATACATAGTGTGTAATCTCTAATAGAAAAAAATGCAGAAATAATTAAAATATTTTATGAAATATCCCTATTGCATGATATTTCACAAATAAAGATCCATATCAAAGTTGACAAATATAGGTCCAAATTTTTTGATTTGATCTTATAATGATGCCACGTGTCTTTTATGTTGGTTATAATGTTTTCCGAGTGTTTCAATGGTATGTCCAAAAGATATTGTCAAATGGATACCCTTTGAAGCACACTAATTAGTTGCCTTCAAAAACATTTATTTAACATAGACATGAGACTCAGCCTTAACAATATTTTTTCACAAATACCTATGGGAGCAAGGATGTTTGTGCCTTGTATATTAGCTTGTAATAATTTTTACACTTGAACTCTTTTAAACACTATGGGAGCAATATAAGTTACAACTAAAGTGTCACTTTTGTTAAAATACAGCCACATTTGCTCACTGCATTGAAATAATAATAACATCTAGAAATAGAGACACTATTCTTGTACCACATGGAGAGATGTTGTAGATTGATGGAATTAAGAATTGCATTACTTCAATTATTACATGACATATATGGATATATGCTTTCAATAATCCTTACCATATTGGATCTTGATGTAAAAGTGAGATTGGCCTATTTAATTCTTGTCATGTTAATCCTACCATGTGATTAAACAGATATCTACCTAGGACTTGGCTTATTTGGTACCAATTTGGCTAGATTGTGTGACAAAACACACATACACACATACACAAAGAAAGAGAGAAGGCGGAGTGAGGTTAAATTGATTGTATTTTAATTTTTATAATTTTTTCATAATTTTATCAATTTTCTTAGTCAATGTTTAGGTCTACTCACAAATTATTAGCTACCATAAACACCCTTTCTTATAGTAGGAGTCCATATTACTATAACTTACTTGACCTAGAGTAGGAGTCCATATTCTTAGTTTCTATGAGTCTATATCTATTATTTTTTCTCAAGCTAGATGTGAAGACATTGGTTTGTCTTTCCTTTATTGCTAGCACTCTCTTTAGGTAACTTCACATATAGATATAATAAACAGTTAATGTACAACTGATCCTTGTATTTGGAGGAAGTACTCCATCAATTATGTTGGCATTTAGAGGCTTGAGAACGTTTCAGTATTATTATACTTGCTCTAGAAATCAACTATAACGAGAAGTGATTTGGAGCACAAGCCTACTTAGTTGGTGTAGATTGAATGTCTTACTGGAAAGCTCATGAGATATGTTATTTATAGAACCCAAGAATTTTGAAACTGATTATAAACAAGTGAGATTTAATATGCCAAAGATTTGTTGAGTCAACCCCTCAATTGACTTATAAAATAGTCAATGTCATTAGTATATTGGGTTGACCTGGTTTTGACCAGATCATCATTTTTTATTTGTAGTGAACTATTTTTTGAATTTTAATTATCTAACTTTGTTAAGGATTTTTGTAGATGTGCATGAATACTCTTACATGTGTTAGTAATTTTGGATTACATGTGGTATCTTAGATACAAAGTTGCTTTTTCTTTTATGTAGGCTAGTTTAGCTATTGGGTTAACTTAGTGAGTTGACTCATGGTTAACCCACATGAGGTTTAGGTCAATTCACTTGTTTTTTTTTTCCTTTAAAGTTTTCCATTTGTTCTGAAATTCAATTTTGTTCATTAGGACCTATTGTGGGATGTTTCTCTCTCTTCATTTATGCTTAAAAAGCATAATCAAAACAACAAATCGACTGGGTCTAATAGCTCAGATCTTCATTCACCCATTAGTGGAATGATAACATATTTATAATCAATTTTCTTTTCGTCCATATCAAAATGCTTAAACAACACGATGGAGATGTTGATTGCATCTAAAAGCTATGTAGGAATATAATTTCTTCATTGAAAAACATAGTTTTAGTTGTTAATCCTCATAATAAACTAAAAATAGTATATTTATTTATATTTCTTTTTTTTTTTCTATGACTCCTCTCTTAACAATGACTCAACCACAATGAATATTCTTAGCACTTCAAGGCACAAAGAGTGATCAAACTTTGTAAAAAAAAAAAAAAAGGCGTTTAAAGAAAAGCTTAGTATGAAGTGAGTTGTTGCATAATGAAAATTTTTATAGGGACACAAAAATGAAAAAGGCATCTCCTTTAGGACATTACTCGTAATAAACCGCTTATGGTAGGAGTCCAAATGCCGAATTTGTTAACGTGTTAAAAAGTCGTCAATGTCACTTGCCCTAGACCGAAAGATAAAAGGGCTTTTCGCCATTTTATAAGATTTAAGGGATAAGAACTACATCGCCAACATTCTTTTGCCTTTCAACAAATAACCCCTGTTGCACGAAAAAATTAATGAATAGACGCCCGGAGCTTTCAATTACGTAATCACCCGCAGTGCCGGGTAAGGGAGAGGAGGCGTGCTGTACAAGCTTGAAGGGAATTATGGCGGAAAAGTCCCTAATAAATTTAGCTTTTAAAATTTTTACCATGGATAAAATTGACACGTAGTAAGCAGCTCTCTTTGGAAAAAAAATCTGCGCGGAACCCACGACGAATAGATGCCGTGCTCTACTCTCTCTCTCTCTCTCTCTCTCTCTCTCTCTCTCTCTCTCCACTCTTTCATTTTCTCATACTTCTGCCATTACGACGAATAGATGCCATTACACTCTCCCTCTCTCTACATTCTGTCATTTTCTCATACGTCTTTGCCATTACACACTCTCTCCCTCTCTCTCAACACTCCACTGACTGTCACTTTCTCATACACCTTTTCCATTGCACTCTTCTCTCTCTCTCTCTATCTCTCTACACACTTGTCTCCCATTTTGTCACTCTTACCTGTTACACGCACACTCTCCCTCTCTCCTCCTCTGTCTGTCATCTTCTCATACTTATCTGACATTATACACTCTCTCTCTCTCTACCCACTGTCTGTCATTATATAATACTTCTTTGCCATTACTCTCTCTCTCTCTCTCTCTACCCCACTGTCCGTCGTTTTTATCTACTTCTTTCCCATTATACTCTCTCTCTCTCTCTCTCTACCCCACTGTCCGTCGCTTTTATCTACTTCTTTCCCTTTATACTCTCTCTCTCTAACCCACTCTGTCATTTTATCATACTTTCTTTCCCATTACTCGCTCTGTAGCAAAGGGAAGAGGTCCGGGGAATCGAGGTACTTCAGTGGGAAGGGAGAGAAGAAGTGTCGGACTGCACTGCGGAGAATTCAGCAAATGTCGTCGGAATCCTCGACGGCGGCGGGCTCGGGGTCTGCGGAGGCAGCCCCGTCAGAGAAGCCGGTGATGGTGGTGGCGATCGACGAGAGCGAGCACAGCTACTACGCGCTGCGGTGGACTCTTCAGCACTTCTTCACCAACGCCCAGCACGTTCCCCCTCATTTCTCCCTCGTCCTTGTCCACGCAAAGCCTTCCGCAGCCTCCGCAATCGGCTTTGGCGGCCCCGGTCAGTGATTGCCCTACCTTACATCATCTCACTTGATTACCAGTCTGCTCCTCCTCATCCGCCATTGATTGAGCGCGTAGAAGAGGGGGAGGGGGTTCTTGTTTGAGTTACAATGGAAGCTGGTGGCTGTTTACGCCTTGAAATTGATGTGATTCTCTGGATTTAGTTTAGCAGGAGGAGCGGAAATACTGACATTCGTGGAGTCGGATCTCAAGAAGATCGCTGCCAGGGTCGTCGAGAAGGCCAAGCAGATCTGCATCGCCGGATCGGTAACGATTCCCAAATGTTTGTTCAAACTACGCTTTTCCATGATTGATTTGCATTATTTTTTAGATGAATCCGCAGCACGTTACTGCCTTCTTCATCGGTGTCCATGCTCTCTCTCTCTCTCTCTCTCTCTCTCTCTCACTCTCACCCCCCTACCCCACAGAATGGAGTATTAACTTTGCATTATCGATAATCTCCCATTTTCCTTGTTAATTTCTCCTTTCTGTGATCAATTCTGTTCACTTGGGAATCAATAATGTGCGGAAGACATCAAGCTGCTCGAGTGCCTGAGAATTACGTTCACATACTATATTCTTTAATACTCTAGTATACTTTGACAAGCAGTGATGTGTAGAAATCCTCAACCCATTGTGAGGTAGCTATTCTTTTCATGATATACTAAATAAAGTTGGACCGTGTTTTAGTATGAAATCATAACGCCAGGATCAACTTACCCTCCTGGTTCATCAAATCAGGCGCATGCCTGCTTCAATTTGGCAATCAGTTACATTTGGAAATTTTGTCAATTTTTTCTTACCCTTTTGTGGGCCTCAAGTTCCAAAATGAAACTAAATCCTATACTGCGGTTAGATCGATCCAACTCATATGAACCCACTCCATATTTTCCGGTCATTGGTGTTGGATTCTAATTGATAGTGAATTGATATCCTTTCTGTATGAATTTCCTTTGTGAGAAGTTTTGATTGTTTTGGTTAGCTTTTCATCAGGATCTGGAGTGGAAATCTTCATTGGTTCTTTTCCCCCCTGGCATGGTGGAAACCCTTTCAAACTTTGTGCGTGAATATTAAATAACCGAGGGCTGAAATGTATAATTTTTTGTTTCTTTCCTCCTATTTTTCTCTTATTTCATTTTCTTAATTTCACCGCTGCATCATCTCATTCAACAGGACCATGTGGGTTTGTGCTGTGATTATGTAATGATGCAGTAGCGAGGGGTCCTAAATAGATATTATAAAAATGAAATAAGAGAAAAATAAGAGGAAGAAAGTGCGTTTGTGCTGCGATTATGTAATGAATTATTTTTTTCTGGTTACTGGGTAAATAAATTTTACTGACAACGACGGGAGTTGGTTTTTTAGCATCGATGGAAGGCCGTTTTAGAGGAAATTTAAACTAGGAAGGTAAAAAGTTGCCAGGAAGAATCTGTACCTCTGCTTTCTGCTGTTATCCTTCTGTTTTTAGAACAGGGGAGGTGATTCCCCTGTTCTAAAAAGGATATGTAGTTTATACTTGAAGCAACAAGATCAGGTTCAAGTGAAGCCGGATTTCATCTCGTTGCTCTACTTTATTTGTGAAGCGCGGTTTCTATTCGCCACTAATCATTCGGACATTTTTGTTGTGCCTTCAGGTGAACGATGTGGTAGTTGAAGTGGTGGATGGTGATGCGAGAGTTGTCCTCTGTGACACCGTAGAAAAGCATCAAGCATCTATGCTCGTCCTGGGTAGCCATGGCTATGGAACGATTAAAAGGTCTGCGTTCCTTGGTTTTATTGAAATTATGAGCTGCATAATAAGAAGATGCTGCTCAGGTTCTTTTCTTCGGGCATCCCCCCAGTAATAACCCATATAAAGAACCCACCCTGGAAGAAAATGAGAGGCTATAGAAAGCTCCAGGAGATAATTTATTGCACAGAAAAGGAAATGTTGGAATGATCTATGCTTGGATAATAAGGCAAAGAAAACTTGCCGGCACTCAATTTCTCGGGCAACTGCTGCATTTACATAAAATTGAGCATCAGATATGACTACTTGAGGAATATTTTGCGTGATTTTTACCTGTTCTAGGAAAACCCCATTCATGAGATTTTGCCAAGATGGGGATGAAAGAAGAAACTTTCCTCTTTTTTTTTTCTTATATTTTTCTGCTGCTCAACTCTCTCTCGATCACCCCTGCAGGGCTGTGTTGGGCAGCGTCAGCGACTACTGTGCACACCACGCCCACTGCACCGTGATGATAGTGAAGAAGCCCAAAACCCAGAACTGATGATCAACTCACCACCAGTGGGAGAAGCGAGCTATCAGACCCAAACTTATATCGTAAGAATATGCTGCTTCATTTGAGAATAAATGGGGAAAAAATGCCCTTAAAGAATAGACACCAGATGGAGGATCATGTAGGCGGAATGCTTTCTTTTCTTGGGAATTTTTCTCTCTCAAGGATGTGCTGGGCTGGCTCTCTGTGCGTCCTCTGAATCAATAAGCTTACACTTGCCCGATTAATATCAGATTGCCTCCAATCTACTTCCTCTTATTCTTAATCTATTTAACGCTTTTGTGAGCATATTCCCTGGTGAAAGCGGTAGACTCTTGCAAATAAGGTAACAAGGCACGTCTGATTCATCAGAAAAACCTCATCTTGCTACGCCACAGCGGATAAGAATATAAAATGAACAGACGAGATCCAGTGAGCGTGCTTGTGCGAAATATCTACATAGAACTCTGTATAATGCGAAGGAAGAGAGAGAGAGAGAGGAAGAGAGAGAAATCATGATGTTCTAATAAAAATAATGTAAGATAGAAAATCATGACGTAGAGGAACGACAACCCATCCTTCACCAAATGGGCGATCCTCCATCGCCTCTGCTGTCGCTTCAGCACTTCAATCTCTCCGTGGAGCCATCCTTGTAGTAGTGAGCAAACAACAAGGTGCCACCGTCGTGCATGCTCTCACCATCAAACCTGAGAATGATTGAGGGCAGCCCATTGTCATAAATAGAATCGATTTCATTTGATGAACTCAACGAGTGAGCCGCAATGACAAGAATATGAAGAAATTTAAAGACCCCAAGCAGGCATAATATTTCTGAGCTCTCAAAGACTGAGCAAGCATCCATGATACCATTAAGCCTATGCGTTATAAAGAATGTTTAACGGTCTTATGGTCAGCTGATTTTTGGTGTTGCAGTAGGGATTTTTGGCCAGCTGAAAGAGTTTTCCGTAAGTTCCACGGATTAAGCGTGTAACATGAATGAGTATAAGCACCTTTATATGTGATTAACAGAATTCAATCCGAGGTTAGTTTCCCTAGAGGATCCACCTCCCTGGAAAGGCACTAACCTGTACAAACGAAATCCAGTTAGATACATTCAAATATAGAACACTCACAACTGGAATCCGCTGAGCTCAGAAAGCAGAAACTTTGTAGCTGCTTCATTGTGCTCCTTGAACATTTTTTCTTTCTCAGCATCCAGATTCTGAGACAGATTCTTAATTTACCGTTTCATGAAGGCCACAGACTGTTTTTTGTCGAACGCAGCAGGTTGCTCCTAACTGGAATCGAGGGAGTGAGAAAGAAAACAGACCACCCCCTTGACTTCCCACAGTCCATCAAGCTCCTTATGTGGGAATGAAGCTGAGAACATCTCATTACCTAAACAAAAAATAGTAGGAAAACTTTACAACTCTATCAAAAGTAAAAATATCAAAAAGAATGTTATAAGAATGTTCAATAAAAAAAAAACATCCGATAACCTTGGAGTCCCCATCACGCAAATGTGAGAATGTATCAATCTCACCATGTTCAAATTTCCCACTCATGCAAATATATGTTTTTTAAATAAAGGGAAATTATTAGTAAATTTTAAAATTAAAATAAAAATAAAAAGACTGAAAATGATAACCTTAATTGAGATATTATCAATGCCACTTTTTATGCTCACATTCCGTTATCTTAACTATGCACATCAAGAAATAGAACACCAGGCACTCGACCGAAAGGATAAAAGGGTCCCCAGAAACATAGATTTATCAATTACAAGGAGGCAACGAGTAAGATAATCCACAATCCACAATCCAAAATCGACACGTTCATTTTAAAAGAGATATACGCAGGATATGTATTCTTCTTACAAACTCATGTTATCAACGGGAAGAGAATCAATGTAATAAGTGATACGAAGCTATGCAAACAAACACAAATAAAATCACTCGATGGGACTGGAAGAAAAAAGCGATGCTAACAATCGAAACTCCTGTCACTACCATGTCAGTTGTCCAAATACCACAAATCAATGGAACAGAGGCCCTTATAGTCTTAGCCAAAAAACTTTGTTTTTTCATGACGCAACCGTGACAAGTTATGGTAGTATGCATGCATCTACAAACCATAGCACAGCGATTGAAATGTTCCATCCATAAATGATCAGCAGGAAACATGAATTGAAGCTGACAAAGTGAAGAAGATGGAAAGTTCATATTAGGGACGTATTCATTCCTAGAGGCACAATGACACGCCAGAAGGAGCAGACAAGTCCCTTGGCAGGATTCATACGAAATAATGTATAATTACATAGATACGATTTCCCTCGAGCATGCAATGAATTAATTCAAGTTGGCACGCCACATAAAAGAGGGAACTAAAAATAAGCGAACAAATAATTCAAAATTCTCACCCAAAAGATTCCCCACATTATTCACGCAAAAGCCTTTGAAGTTTTTTGTGCATAATTATAGCTACAAGGGGATCATTAATATTTCAATGGACATTTTCGTTTTCATCGCTATATAATATCAAGTCAGTGAGAAACATTTCACTATCAATTTGCACATATTCGCTACTTCATGTGTAAAAGGGTTTAATGTTTCCTGCTTATTCATCGAATAAATATAATAAGAAGAAATATATAAACATAAATAAAAACGGAGGTAACAATTTTTTAAAACATGTATGCGCTATAAGAAACAAAAAAGAACAACTTCATAAACTGCCGAACAGTAGTCCAAAAACACGGAATAAAGGGTAAAATTTGGTAAAAGACGTGAGATCCACGAAGAAAAAACTACCGTAATGTCGATATGACTTTTCCGATATTACAGCTTAAGAACTAAGAAAATAGTAGAAGAGTAAGACAATCACTTAAGTAGCCCAAATGGCAGGAAGCATACTACCTAAAAAGGCGTGGGGAAAATAAATCTGAGGAAAAATAAAAGATACTGCGAGATTATTAGAGTGTCTGTATATATAAAACATGTACCAACGAATCCCACAACAAAACAACAAAAAATAAGAGCACGCTACGTGCAGATTAAAAAGGTAAAGTTGAAATACAGAAAGAACCTCTAGAACGCGCCAACCCTCTCTAATTATAAAGCTAGGCATTAGACGGCCCGGATAGACACGAAGACAAGCAAAACGAAGGAAAAACAGACTCATGCAGAACCTGACGTTCGGAAGAGACAACTTAACAAGCTTCTCTCTTTAACTCTTTCAAGAAGTACAAGCAACCAGCACCAATGTCCAGGCATTGCAACCAAATCAAATAACGGCACCAAGTAACACAAGCACATAGCCTACAAACGCTCATTGTCACGGTGAAGCCGCCCGTCGGTTAAAATCAACAAGATGACAGAGGTATGTAAACTCTGTAACAATATAGACGACAGAAGATCGGTATGGAACTACGCTGTTTACCAGTAAGCACATCCTTGAAAACTATTATCTTCGCTCCTCTCCTCAGAGGCAAACCGAGAAGAGGCAGAACCGGCGTAGAAGCTTGCAGAGGCCGGCGAGGAAATCCGAGAGCCTAGGAAGAGCACAGTAATATTTATAGTGAGGGTTTCCCACGGAAGCCCCCGAAGCATTCGTTCAGGAAAAAGGGAAGCCATTAATGGGCCGGGGCCCGGATTAATTTTGGGCTCAGCCAAGACAAAACCAAGTAAAATTTCCTTATCGCCACCGTCATTCAAAGTTAATAGCTATTATTTTATTTAATAATAATTAAAATAATTCTTACTTCTGCAAGGATCATATATCACATGCACGTCATTTTTCTTCAAGTTAAGTTAAATAATTATTTTTTATGTATGTAAAAGGATGCTATAATTTGTAGTTATATAGACAGTCATGTTAGAATAAAAAATGAGGGTACTTTTGGTCTCTAATAATGATAAAAAATGGAAAATAATTCCTAAATATAAAAAATACAGCTAAAAATTAAAATTATTGTGAAAATACTACAATTCTAGCTGATATGCAGCTTGTGAGTAAGATATGGGATTACTAGGCCCAAGACACCAAATTTTAAGTTCTCTTTTACTCCAAAAATATGTGGGATTTTATCCTCTTTTTCTTTATTACTAAAAATAACATATCTTTACTATAAAAATATATGCACGATAGTATACTCTTCATAAAATCACATGTTACCCATGGGGTGTGGTTAGGCAAAACATGATTTGATTTATATTATGTGCATCTAAAATAGTGAAGAAAAAAAATATAGACATCATGATGCAAATTGATCAGGATGAAGAGAGAGAAATAGAAAACTTACTCATATCTCATGTCGCTACACATAGATGTCTCATCATGGGTCCCTAGTGACTTAGAGAGGGAGAGAGGGAGAGAGAGAGAGAGGAAAATATTCATAAATTCTCATTATCAATATGTTAAGTGCAGTAATGTTGATCTTTTCTTCTTAGCTCATAGGATGTGACTATCACCATATAGGCTATTTTAAATTAATTATGAAAATATGGGGAAAATAATTAATTTCATTTATTCATGAAATGGCTGCACAAAACTTCTATGAAAATTGGATTGCGCTTTCAAAAAAATTAGGTGTTAAATTGTGAATAGATAAACCTAAAGCCTAAACTAGTAACTTAAAGAGGGGAGTTTTTATGTGTCACATAAAATATATCTAACTCATCTCAACTGGTAAGTTTATTGTACATACGCTTTATGCTATTTAAATTCTCATTTTTAGTAATTATGATTAATTTAAATGGAGAAGCAATAATAATATATTATTAAAAGTTTTTATATATGTGAAATAATATTGTATAACATATTAAAAATGTAATATTACAGTTTTTATGTGTCACATGAAATATAGCTAACTCATATCAAATGGTAAATTTAAAGTAATACGTTTTATTATATTTAAAATCTCATTTATAGTAATTATGATTGCCTTAAAAGGAAAAAAATATAATATCACTCTTTTATATTTTTTAAAAATAATGATGTGTAATATATTTAACAATATATAAAATTACACTTTTTCTGTGCCACATAAGATATAGCTGACCCATCTCAAATGGTAAGTTTAAAGTACATACGCTTTATGCTATTTATAGTCTCATTTATAATAATAATGCTTGGGTTAAAAGGAGAAAATAAAATAAAATAAAATAAAACATATAATATTAAAATTTTACATATATTCAAATAAAAAGTGTATAATATATATAATATTACATTTGTTTTGTGCCACATAGAATATAGCTAACTCATATAAAATTGTAACTTTAAAGTACATACCTTTATGCTATTTGGTATCTCATTTATAGTAATTATGATTGGGTTAACAGGAGAACAGATAGAGAATGATATTACACTTTTATATATTTTAAAATTATAATGTCTAATACATTAAAAAATATGGAACGGCCTACTCCGCACGCTAATGTCCCCTTCTAACTCAGCTCATGGGGCAGCCACTGATCCCAGAGAGCCAGGATGGGGCCAATTGGGCCTGGGTCCAGCCCGAATTGGTCTTGCCGGCTACAAAGCACAGAGATCCTGCATTCCGTACGATCGTCTCGAGGAGGGATCTGGGCCGTCCGTCGGGGGAAAGAGAGATCGTGCCGATGAGTAAAATCGGCCGGTCTAATTCCTGCCGTTTTCAGTTTGACCTGCCGATCTGAGGACGAGAGAGGACGGAGAGAAGAAAGAGGAGGGGGAGGAGGAAGGGGGGAGGAGGAGGAGGAGGAGGAGGAGGGAGGATCCCTAGGTTATTCCCAGCGGCAGGGCTCGAGGGACAGGTGTAGATCTGGTTTTGCCGATTTGGAATTCGAGGTGGTGGAATTTCTACGCATTTCATCGGTTGCAGAGGCGAGGTTTTTGTGCCGTCGTGGATTCGGGGGGCATGACATGATGGGCTCGGGGGAGGCAGATCCGGGGAGTGAGAAAGGGTCCGGCGAGGAGGTGCCGCTGGCGTCGCTGGTTCCCTGCTCGATCTGCTTGGAGCCGGTGAAGGACGGTGGCGAACGGTCTACGGCTAAGCTGCAATGCGGGCATCGATTTCATCTAGGTTAGTTCCGGACGATGGCTTAATATTTTAGGAATTTTAAGTTAACGAGTCTATCTTTCTATGCGTGAGCTCTCCTGCATTTGGTGAAAGGGACGAACTTTCCATCTGTTGTTGCTGCGGCGATAATTTTAATTAAGAAATTCTGTGGATCATCGGTATATTTTCTTGAGATTTACATACCTCAAGGAAAAGCATGGCGACTCTTGTGAACTGGAAAGTTTTAGGAGTTCAGCTTCCAAATTTTCACAGATAGGGAACGAATTTAAGCTAATGTCATGAATTCTACCGCAGATATTTGCTGTTTTTCAAGTAAAATAAAAAATTTCCTGTAACTCTTGGTTTTCAGACAAAGAATTCAGTTTTAGAAAAACTGAGTTTGTAGAATTGGATGCAGAAGTTTTATTGTGTGTGTGATGATCATATACTTTGTTAGACTCGTTTGACCTTCGAAAACTGTTGTTTACTTCTCTTCGTCGTCACTTTAAATCAAAAGGTTTTATTTATAACGTCAAGGATACCTGAAAGAAAGAAAATTTATGTTGCAGAAAATTGCTCAAGAAATTACGAATATATGAGGGAAATAAGAGGGTAGGGGGCAGAGCCTTAAATAAGAGGGATAGCCCTGGTTTCTGAGCAGTGCATGGATGTCACATGAGGGTACACGTGCTGTGGACTTTGATGAAATTCAAATAATATCAATATACTTGTTATCCTTGTACGTTGAAAAGAGCAATGGTTGATTCATTGCCAAGATGAACAGCATATTCAAATTCCTGATTCTCTTTTCGGCCTCAAGAAAACTCGTCTTAAATTACTTATATATTCTTTTTCTTGGTGAACCGAGCCCAACTCAAACTGTAACCAGAGTGCAGTTATAACATTTTTAAACTATCAACTAAAACCCAATCTAAACCGTGTTTTAACTCTTAATAAAGGATGAAAAGTGAACGAATTCTTGCTGTAATAATGACTTTTTTGCTTGTACTCCTAACTTTTCCTTATTACAGCACATTTGTCTTCAGTTTTTTGCTCCTGAGGGTTGTCAACCTTCGAACATTGAATGGCTTTCTTTACTGCATGAATTTGGGATGGCCAAGCGTACACTGTTCAACATTGGTGTAATTTGGGAAGCAGTGGTTTGGGACATCTCAAAGCTTTGAGATAGCCACTTCTGACTGGGTCTTGATTTGAATATTGACCCTGTTTTCATTCATGCATTTCTTCATCCTATGTTATGTATGCTATTGAAATTATCTTTTTAATGCTATCTTGTGTTCACTTATTTGTTACATATTTTGCTTTTCATTAACTGATCTAACTGTTTGTTTGCATTCTCTAGATTGTATAGGCTCAGCCTTCAATGCCAAGGGAGTGATGCAGTGTCCAAATTGCCGGAAAATAGAGAAAGGGAATTGGCTCTATGCAAATGGGTGCCGTTCATATCCTGATACAAGTGTGGATGAGTGGACTCATGATGAAGATCTATATGACCTAAATTACTCGGAAATGGTAAATATCCATGGCTGGAAGTTATGATCTTTTAAAAGTTCTTTCTGTTACATTCATTGAACCTGTTTCTTGTTCAATGCACGGATACCTTGTGCATTTTGTTTTAGTTTAGTTAATTTCTCACTCACATTAACGCATTTGCATGTAATTTTTTGGTTTCTGTTTCCAAATAGATGTGCTTAAACTCCCAAATTCAAGTGGACATTTCTGTTCGGTAATAGCTAACTTACATGACCAATGAGTATGCTCTTCTGGATTGAAAATGATCTGGAACATCTTGTTTGTAAGTTTTCTTTCTATCAATGAAAGCCAGAACGCAGATTCAGTTGCAGTCAGACTATGTTTATAGTTGAAAAGCGGAAAACTATGTTGAATACTGCCAATTCAGTCGCAATCAGGCTGGTTGAGACTGGCTTGACTCCAAATAATGAACTGTTTGAAATCAGTAGATTGTTTCATCTCTTTAACTATGTGACTTGGCCAATCCCATACTGGTCAGGAATCGGCAATTCAGATTCCTTTAGATAATGCACGAGTCAGACAAGGTTAGAAACCTTGAATTTTAGAACTCTCCTTGGCTGGAGATGTATCCAAAGTTTGGTAAAAGATAATGACACTTAAGAAATAAAATCTGTTTGCCAACGTGAATGCTCTATTTTCTTTCTTATCCCAGATAGGCGTTTGCAATTTGTACAAGTGCGGTCAATGCTAAAACGTTAAACATCAGTTTATTGATAAAATCTCCTTCAATCGAACAGATTTTGAAAATAGTTATATTTCTTGTTCTCCTCATATTTATCTTTTGTATCATTCTGTGGCCTAATGAAGGAAATTCAGGGTCTGTAACAGATGAGAAACATTGTAAAGATAAGGATCTATTTCACTTTATTGGAGCTCCTTCCCTCTTGGGCGAGGGCACAGCTGCAAGGAACAAACATGAGAGCCGCCAGAAAGTGGGAGAGAGAGAGAGAGGAAAAGAACTTCATTACTTTAGGGTTAGGGTTCATGACCCAATACATGATTACTGACTATTGGATTGTGTGCTGGGTATAAGTGGCTCGATTTGATATCCATAGGTAATTAGACTTACTAAACCCAATAACCTTATCCCCACATGTAGCTAATATCACTATTCTAACACTTTCCCTCAAGTTGGAGAATGGATATCTTTCACCCCCAAGTTGCTTAACAATCTTCTCATGATAGGTCTATGTAATCTTTTGGTGAAGATGTCTACACATTACTCCTTGGACTTGACATATTAGATAGTGAGGATCCCATTTTCTATCTTCTCCTTGATGAAATGGCTATTCACCTCCACATGCTTAATTCGACTGTGATGTATTAGATTGTGAGCAATATATATAGCTGACTTGTTGTCACAAAAGAATTTTGTGGGTGAACCGTATTGGATCTTGAGGTCTTCCAAAATCCCTTTAATCCATAATGCTTCACACACCTTTTGTGTCATGACTTGAAGTTTGGACTATGTGTTAGATCTTGAAACCACTTGTTGCTTCTTGCTGCACTAAGTGATGCGGTTCCCTCCTAGAAATGAGCAATACCCTGAAGTAGATCATTTGTCTACAATATAACTTGCATAATTAGCATCATTGAATATTTTCATATTAGTATGCCCATATGATTGAAATAAGAGCCCGTAACTAGGTGTACTCTTTAGATAGAGAATTATCCGTCTTGCCGCAACATTATGTACCTCTCTAGTGTCATGCATAAATTGGCTCAATAATCTTAAAATGTGTAGGTAATATCTGGTTGAGTGTGAGATAAATTGATCAATTTACCAATCAGCCTTTGATACCTTCCTCTATCAATTGGTGAGTTGTCTTCACCTCAACTCAATTTCCCATCATAGTTAATGAGAGTGATTGCTGGTTCACTACCACTAGTTCTGATTTCTTTAAGTAAATTTAAGGTATATTTAAGTTGAGATAAGAAAATACCATGTTTGGAGTATGTAATTTTCATGCCAAGAAAATATTTAAAAATTTTCAATCTTTTAATTTCAAAGCATGTATATAATTTATCATTTAACACTTCTATTTCTAATGATCATCACCAATAAGTATTATATCATCAACATAAACTAATAAAATAGGAATTTCATTTCTAGAGCATTTAAAGAAAAGAGTATGATCACCATTATTTGGCGATAATCATGCATAGTGGCTGAGAGCTTGTCAAACCATGCCCTTAGAGATTGTTTAAGTCCACATAAAGACTTTATTAATTTACACACCATGTGCTGATTTTTTTTCTTCCTTAAAACTTTTAGGTATATCCATATATATCTCTTCATTTAGGGAGCCATGTGGGAAAAAGTTCTTCACATCTAATTGGTGAAGTTGCCATCCTTTCATTGCTGCCATAGAGATTAAAATTCTCATGGTGTTTAATTTTACTACTAGGCAAAGGTCTCATTGTAAGTAATCCCTAATTTTTGAATATATCCTTTTGCTACCAATCTAGCCTTGTACCTCTCTACCGTTCCATTGAGACTATACTTAATGGTAAATACCCATTTACACCCAATAGTTCTTTTATCGCACAGGAGCTTAACTAGTTCTCATGTGTGATTTTCGCCAATTCATTCATTTTTATTTCCATAAAAATGAATGAATTGACGAATGGAGTCTACTTTTGTAAGAAATGAAGAGTGGGCTGTAGATAACTGATGTGAGGATAAATAGTTATGTAATAGATAAGTAATATTCTTACTGATGTCCTAGTGGACCAACAAGTTTACTACATTTTCTTGTGATTTTGATGGAAGATTTAGTATAGTCTCATGAGTTAGATCCTTTACTGAAGTAGTGTGTGGGATTTGCTCACTCTTTCTTCTTGTATAGGTCTATCCAAATCCTTTTTCTATTGTTAATTTTTGTGATTTTGACTCCCCCCCATCACAAGGGAGTAGATAACTTCCTTGAGATGTGGTCATATCACCCATCCTCTCTATGGGTGAGGGGTCTAAGGCCTCATTAGTCTTATAATAATTTTCACCTTCATTCAAAGTGATGTCTCAAATGATATAGAATTTCTTAGTTTTTGGGTCATAACACTTATACTCTTTTTGAGTTATTGAGTAGGCCAAGAATACACACTTAAGTGCCCTTGGGTTGAATTTCTTGGTATAATATAAATGTACATATGCCACACGGTTGGTTTTACCCTAGAATATGAAACTCTAGGACCTTAGTAAAACTTTTCCTTGTCCAAAGTCCTTGATGGCCATATGTTAATTAGGTGGGTGGCTGTAAGTAATCTTCCCCCTACAAGTATTTTAGAATATTCTCTTGGATAAAGAGTGCTCTAATTACTTCTCATAAGTGATGATTCTTTCTCTCTGCAATCTCATTTTGTTGAGGAGTTTTTACACAAGATGTCTCATGAATCACTCCATTTGTAAGAAAGAATTGTACTAAATCCTTATTGATGTAATCCTTTGCATTATTTGTTATAAAACGTTTAATGCTGATACTAAATTATTGTTTCACCATTTGGAAAAATACCTTTAATTTTTTAATCTCTTCAAAATTTTGACTCATCAATTATACCCACGTCATACGAGTGCAATCATCAATAAATGTGATGAACCGACGATGACCATACATGGTCGATGTTGGTGTTGATCCTCATCACTATCAACCAAGTTAAAAGGTAGAAGGGATCTTGAGTTAGAGGGAGGTTAAATAGATCATTTATGTTTAGTTAACTGTCACACCTCACATAAGAAACTATTGTTATCAAGTTCTTTACACAATTGCAAGAATAAATGTTTAATAGTCATGATAGAGATGTCTTAGGCAACAATGAAGCAACATAAGTGGTTCAATCGACTCGTGACTCCTCCTTGATGCCACTCTTGGTGTTGTCTCCCCTGCTTGTGCCACTTGTGGATCCGCCTTTTATGTTCCACTAGTGCCTCCTATGTAATATAAGCCTCTCCTCTCCTTAGCAAGTCTAGTCCTCCATCTTGTGTCTTTATCATATAAAATACAATCATCAAGAGTAATCAAAAGATCATGAATGATGGATTGTCTGAGTTTACCAAGGGAGATTAGGCTTACCGATAATAAAGGCATATAAAGAATATGATGAATTTTTTCTATTCTTGAAAGTTCTATGAAACCTATACCAACTACAAGTATAAGCTTCCCATCTGTGGTTAGTATTTGTCTACCATTAAAACATGGTTCATAGGCTTAGAATTTTTTTTTGAGTGGAGATATATGATCGGTGGCCCATGAGTTGAGGATCCATGTATCTCTATTTCTTAGATACATGTTTGTATGACGTAGAGAATGGAAACTCAATGAGAGGAAAGTGTAAGAGATTGGGAAATTACCTAAGGAAGCTATTGATGATGCTATAGAATTTGAGGTAATGAGTTGTCGCAACTTCTCAATCTCCTCCTTGAGTCCATCAATTTCTCCATCCTTGGAATTTGTTGGTTGAATGATAGATGTCAAGTTCACCTCTCCCTTGGTAGAGCTTGTAGAGCCAATTTCTTGGCAATGGGTAGGAAAGGGAGAAATTGTCACGAGTATGTCCTTGAAATTGTCAAGTTCACCTCCATCCTTGGAATACACTCATGTACTCATGTCCTACTCTCAGAGGCTTACCATGTAATTTTCAGCAATTGTCATGAGTATACCTCCTTTTTTGAAAAAATGAGCATCATAAATTTGCCTTTGGATTTAGCACTTGCTCAGGGTTTTGGCCTTGTTTTCCTTTATTAGAATGTGAAGAGTTTGTCTTGCTCTTCCCTTCCCAGTCACAACTAGTGTTGACTAATGCTCCAGCCATGTTCTTCGCTGCCAATGTTTAGTTATCAACTTGCTGAGTTTTTTGCTCAATATTATCAGCCTATTCTCTTTCTTCTAATAATTCCTATAGTTCCTCTAAATTAGAAACTCTTTCGTTACACAAAAGTGCTGCTTTTTCTGGAATGTTGTCACATAGCTGCCCGACTAGAAGAGCCACTCGCTCTGAAGTGTTGTCACACAAGATCTGTTTAACAATTAACCAATTAATTGTACAATGGGTGAACTTAAGCTAGATAACAACCGATACAAGTAATCATTCAAAATGTAATTTGTTCAACAAAATTTGGATTGGTGGTTGGTTTATAATGATCGACCTCCATCTAGATGGTTTTTTATTTGGCTGCATACTCTATCACCATTTTATTTCCTTGAGTAAGGTTCATAGCTTTGGTGGTTAGATGTGAGATTTCTCCCTCATCATTATGCTTTGTGTGTATACGGTGAGCTCTCTCCCATATATCCTTCACTATTGGAATCCGAAGGAAGTGGTCACTGATAGATGGTCCCATATTTTCTACCAACCACATTTTGATGATGGCATCTGCCTTTTGTCATATATTATGTCGTGGATATGTTGGACTATGAGGATTACCACTCTTGAGGTAGTTTAATTTCCTCTAAATAAGTAAAATCATTTCCACATATTCTTCCCATTGTAATAAGTTCAATTCATTGAACCGATATTTGTCAAGAATTTTTGAGAGCTCGAACCACCTAGGGTACTCCTCAGGTGCACTCATTAGCATCAGAGATATAGACTAAGGGCTTTTGTCATGAGTTAGGGTTTGCGGTCTCAACCAAAGAAAGACGAAACTTCGAACCCTAGCTACAGAAAATAGAGTGCTCATGGTCTCAATGCTCATGGACCTTCAATGCAGTGAGCTCAAACAGCTCAAAAAGAGGGTTGGAAAGTATGCACGTGGGACTCTGATTCCATGTCAGAGCTCTTCCTACCTTGTGTTAGGGCATAGTTGCCGGAACAAACAAGAGAGCTGCTAGAAGTGAGAGAGAGAGGAAAAGAACTTCATTGCTTTAGGGTTAGGGTTTGTGACCCTTTAATACATGATTACTGACTATCGGATTGTGTGCTAGATATAAGTGGCTCGATCTGATACCCATAGGTGATTGGACTTTGTAAGCCCAATAACCTTATCCCCACATGTAGCCCAATATCACTATTCTAACACACTTCAATGTCAACGAATAATTGATATGGCATTTTTAATTAGTTGGTTCAGATAGTTACAAATATACTGATTTTGTTCATTTTAATGATTGTATAAAATTTTATGTGGCTTAAAATGTAGAAAACTGTAGTTTGGATCTAGTTTTCATCCCTAACAGAACTAAGGGGTTTCTCTTTTCTGGTGTTTCTAAATTTATAATTGGTTTAATTCAAGGGATGGCAACCTTATAATTTTATTGCATTATACTTATTCTTGTTGGTTCTTTTTGCATCTTCTTCTCATAACCCTTTGAATAATTTGTTTTGACTCTGTTATGCAGCCATATGGAGTTCACTGGTGTCCATTTAGCAGATTAGCTCATGTTCATTCATCGTTCGAGTGAGTACAATGCTTATGTTTTGGATAAGATTTTTTAGTGGATTCCGATATCCCTATTACTTTTTTTTACCCAAAATAGATCTTAGTGTTTCCTTTTAGGTTTTCAAAAACCTGGAATTTCCAGTGTTATAAAATATTGCCTAACACTCTAACATGGATTAGTTTTTAGTAAAGTTATTCGTGTCTTATGGATCATAGTGTTGTCTAGGTGTATAATGCTGAACTCATGATGTCTTTTTCTATGCATCACATACTGGGAAAAATGTTTTACCGGTTTGTGTTGGCATTTCGTTTAGACTTTTTCGATGATAAGTTTCTTTTGTTGAATCTAGTATGCATCGAGTTGATTGGTCTTTTTGAATCAAAATCGAGCTAAGCTGGAAATCCACTTCCAAGATTGCACCCCTTGTCACTGTAGATTGAATAGCCTCAGGGTATCACGGGGGGTGTATTTGGCCAGTGGCATCACTTTTATTTTAGCATATATCTAAAGAATGCTGAAGGACCAACTAGAACCTTCGTATTATCCATGTGACTACCATTGATTTCTATCCTAGTGTGATATTTTGGTTTTCATTTTTTCTCCTCATTATGGTTGTTCACAGACGATGTTGGTTTTCTCCTCGCAGTACTATTTTGTTCATATTTTTAGCTTCTTTATCTTTTTTATTTGGGTTTCAATTTTTTGTTTCATATTACGATTTCTTTTCATTTTCTCCTATGATGGGTTTTTTCATCTCTTTCCTTTCGAATTCTCTATTACTCCTCTCCTTTCTTACTTATTTCAACTCCGCAGATTTTTTGCATTGGAACTTCATTAAATCTGGTTTTTAAGCCATAAACGGTCATCTTAGCTCCTCTTTCCAAATTGCTGTTTTCCATCCTCATGCGATCTCGTAATTACCATGATAATTTTTTCCTTATGTACATGACTAATAATGCGAATATATGCCACTAAGTGGGATGTTCTCACGTTTCAGATTTTCCTGTATGGGCATGATTTCTATCCTCTTGCAAACTTCTTCCCGATTTTACTTGCATTTCCAGAAAACTACCCACATAGCTACCCTTCATAAAAATACCCACTTTGTCGGTTAATGAGGTCTGCACTAATCTCCCCTCTATCAATCGCACCTCAGACTCATATATATGCTGATGACAATATACGCGGCCATTTTATGACATTAATTCGCTGACATTGAAATCTTCATTCTCTGCAGGGAGGGCGAATCTACCTCAATTTCATGTAAGTTTTATGCGCGTCATCGTAATTCATTTACTTTTTTCAAACCCATCATCTTGATTCAAAGGGTTTCTCCGTGACACTTACCTTTCCTTTTGCAATCACAGATCACGATCTAGTCAGCCACCATGCGGTCTTTGCCGAACAGCCAGCTGCTCCATCATCTGCCCATTCGTGCCCCTATGTGGCCTACTTTCCCCTACAACATTCTGCTTCGCAGCCGGCAACAGATGGTACCGACGATGCTCCCATCTTCCACCATCACTGGGGAAGCCTCTCTGGCCGGTCAGATCTCCAATCCTCCCGTCCTTTTCCGGTGGTTGATCTCCATTACCGGAGCTGGGAGCCCCATTCGCCGCCATACTCAGTCCCCAACGGCCGCATCGGCGGAGCAGAGCCCGCGGCTGGTCCTCCTGCAGCGATGAGGCCTACAAGACTCAACTCGGATGGGCACCTGAGGCCTGGGTCTTTTCTACCTCCTTTCCTCATTGGGCACGGGTGAGTGGTCATCTATCTCTTTCCCATTTTTGGAATCAAGATTAGGTCCTCTCTGAGAAAAAAGACTGCCAGAGATCCCTCACTAGCAAGGAATTTTCATTTCCCAAACAAGTGGGGGGGTGAATGAGCTGGCCTCGAACTATTTTTGCCCAGCCGTTTGACCATATTTCAGAAGTCAAAGCTTTCTGTTTTTGTTTTTGAAAAACCATTTCATTTGTGGGAACATCATCATCACCAACAATTCACTGTTTGCTTAAATTCCTCTTTCAGGTCTCCTGCTGCCGCCGCATCGGCTGTGTCGATGGGTCAGTCATATCACAGCGGCTCTCGTGGGCAGCCCCGCACCCAAGAACTTCACCCTGCCTATCAGCGCCGCAGTGCCCCAGGCCCACAGTCGATGATGTCAGGTGTACAGAGATCGGTCAGCACAAGGAACATAGCACCTCCAGCACTGCCGCCACCACCGCCACCGCCATCCGACCATTCTAGATTTTATCTGTTCCCAGGTGGCCCAAGTCTGCCAGAGGCGGAGAACCCGGGAGGGGGGCGGTTCTATGCGTGGGAGAGAGACCGCTTCACTCCCTTCCCTTTGATGCAGGTGGATAGGGACTCAACCTGGTGGCGGCCATTCCCCACGGCCGCCACCAGCCTGGAGGCAGGGAGCCGAGCTGGGATATTGCAATGGCATGGCTCCGAGAGCCCATCGTTGCAGGGCCGGCCAGATGGCCCCTCTCACCGGTCGGCTCAGCCCCCTCAGATGCACCCCCTATGAACGCTGGGAAGAGCATGTAAGGTTAAGACTTTCTTGTCATGGCCTCTGCCTGTAAATTCCATACGATTGAAACGGTTCATTGGCGGTAGTCTCACTGCTGCATGCATGACTGTCGTGCTCTGCATTTTCCTCTGCTAAAATTGGGGGCCTTGGACCTACTCAGTCTGCTTATTCTTTAAACTTCTGTGACAGTTAATTATTTTATACAGCTGAAATGGGAGAGAGAGAGAGAGAGAGAGAGAGAGAGAGAGAGAGAGGAGAGAGAGAGAGAGAGAGAACTTTTTTTACACGACTAACAAACGTTTTGATAGCATTCAACTAAACATGACTAGCATTCGTTTCATCATTACTTTGAGCTATGATGCATTGACTTAGTCACAAAATTTTGATATTTTAAATAGGTTTTATCGTTTTTAATGAAAGGATTCGTAAAATAATCTCACTTAAAACATTGTAAAGGTGTCAATGAGCGAACACACCTAGTAACTATCAATCTCTATCATAGAAGTACTTGATTCTATATGGGATATTCGAAATAAATATTTAAATAACAGGGTAAAGACAGAAGTAGGTTGAGAGATATCATATTTCTTTGTCCCCATCCATGGCAACCTTAAGAGAAAACAAAACCGGAGGAAAATAATGAGAAATTCATACGCTCAACCCATAGTGAATTCTCAAAAATTCCAATTTGCGTCATCAAAATAACTACCCATAGGTATTGGACAATGCGCATTATCATTAATTGTCACTTTTTTTAAACTGCTATATTTTTGCATAAAATAGAATGATTATAAAGCAAAAAATAGCTAATGTGTTATTGTTTTGCTATGAAAAGCCCTTTTCGTGGGCAACTCTTCAACCTTCAAGGGATTATAACTTCACATAAAATATATGAGTGATCCTAACATGAATATATCCCCCTATTATGAGTGATTTTAACAAGGAAATTGCAAATTTAAGGGTGATCATTCAAAAGATTGAGCTTCATCTCACAATAATCTACACATTTATTTAGCACACTATGAAAGATTGTACTTTTATTAAAAAAATTATTGCCTCTATGTTATTTGTCATGCTTGTTAAACCACATTTAGGATATTCATTACCTCCGATTAAAGCCAATATGAATTGCCCCAAAGATATATGCAATGTCATTTTTAACCTTCTTGTAATTTCTAATTTTTGTAAACATTTTGACAATTTTGGAGAAGACTTGTCACTTGGAAAACTTCTTTGATAATTTCTTTCTTCAATCTACCATGAAGATTCGCATAATGTTATAAGAGGATAGGTAGAGTGATGAGTATTACATGTCTACAACCGTATGCATAAGAAACACCCTCTTTACTAACAAACAGGTGAAATTTAGGCTGTGGGCATACTATAAAATTCATACAACGAGTAATTCTAGATGTCAGTGGCACCTTAAAGGTAAATCTATAAAATAAATAAGATCACCCTCCATGCTTATCTAGGATGTGCCGACCTGGGATAAACACCTGGAACTTCAAAAAAACGTCCAAAAATATGTGAGAGTAAATCACCTGATTCTTGGCTGATAGCCAGATAAAGTTCGTGGCTGCATTGAAAGGCATGCATCTTTCAATTTAACTGGTCCAAGCACGACCTAGTTCGAGATCGCAAGCAACCGCTGTACATTCAAATCACTGTATGGTCAATTTTAGGAGAGAATGATTAAAAGATGGAGCTATCTGACTTGAGCATGGTCTTCAATAGAATTCTGACCCTTAACCTGATTATCGGTTTTTTCTCTGGAGCTGGGCTGTAGCCCATTGAGAGAACACATTCTATCAAGTCCACAATTGAAGTTACACGGGTTCACAACCAAGTTGAAGCAAATATATAAAATATAGACACTACGAGGCTGAATTTCAATGAATTCAAGAAAAATCTAAGCAAGAGCTTCAGATGGGTTTGAGTTGTTGCTCACGCTCACACTGACGATATTGTTATGCCCTCCTTTGAGAAAATGAGAGTACCACCGAGCAGAGAGTTTGGGCCGCCTAGTGAGCTCCTTATCCTCAAAGTCCACATGGTAGAGACCAAAACTCGATTGATACCCATCATTCAGCTCAAAGACATCCAAGAACGACCACGTGAAGTATCCTCTCGCATTTGACCCATTCCTAAGCCAATACACAAAATCTGAATAAGGTATGAATCGATTTCTCAGTCAGTTAAAGAAGAAGGTGACGAGTTATACCTAACAGCGTCGAGCAAGCTTCCTATGTTCATCTTCAAGTATTCAACACGTGGAGTATCCTCCAGAGACGAGTTCTGTGGTGTTGAATAGCCTATGTAGATAAAACATTAACCGTTAAGTTCATAAAGCCTCGGGCAGTCCGTCTCACAAATAAATCATCTGTCAAAATCAAATGCTTTCACCTTTTAAATTCAAAGCACACATATTCTTTTTTTTAATGACTTTGCTAGATGGATTACATAGATAGGGCGTGTGACTTATGATAGAACTTTAGAACAAACTAAAGAATCGTGACAAGTCAAAGCCAGTGGCTGTCAGCGAGAGGTGGTCTCATATACTTCAATCATAAGCACAATATCATGCATTCATGTGATACTATTGTAACAAGGATCTATATTTTTAATTTATAATAATGGAAAAGAAGGAGAGGTCATACTTACCATTTTCATGGATGTAGATGGGAGGATTCCCATAGACATTCTTGAAGTGCTCCAACATTCCTTGCATGCCAAAGACTGTGGCAGGGAGCTGAGTGAATCGAGAGAGTGATTTTTAGAAGCAGTCTTAAGTAACACTTGACTTTTAATTGATTTATCATAAAACACTTACCTCGGAAACATTTTCATTTCTCTTACCTGAAATGTTTAGAAAAATTAAGCGAAAAAGAGTTCAAAATTGAAAAATGAGAAAAATGAAGAAATAAAGAGACGAAATGCATCGTCAGTGGTAGTACCTGTCAATTTTACAGACATATCAAACCCGAAGTCTCTCTCGTAAGTTGATGAATTATCAGAGCTAACATCTGACACCCACACTGTCGCATAATGGTTCACACCCAAGAAGTCAAAGGAGCCCTTTATGTATTCACTTTGATAAACCGAGAATGAAGGCATCTTATTGCCTGTTCTCTCCTTCATGGTGCTCGGATAATCTCCATTGACCAGTGGATTGACAAACCTTAATCAGACATTCCTTTAGAAAGTCATCCTCCGAGGGAAAACGAGGTTGAAAAGTTACGTGATGGATGAGCAGCATACCAGCCGGTGTAGAAGTCATATGCTCTCTGAGCAGCAGCAACATCCCTTGTGGAATTTGTGAGAGAAGTGAAGTGGTAAACGAACACATTTAGACCTATGAATCCTTTTTGTATCACCTGAGTACTCTATGTTATTTTTTCATAATCCAAAGGTTATACATAGAAATTTATCCTTATGAATGCAGTGGTAACCTGGTACTTTCTTCGATAGAGCGTTGCCACTTCAGCATGTGCTAGAATGCAGTGGTAGCCCACAATATATGGCTCTAATGTAGAATCACCAATGGAGCAATTGCGACCAAAACGACTGGAACACCTGAACGGTGGGAAGATCCCCGTGTCATAGCCAGCAAGGGCAAGAAAATTGGGTTCATTAAGGGTAGTCCAATAGGAAACTCGATCCCCAAACTCCTTGAAGCAGACGTCTGCGTAAGCTGTGAAGTCATCCCTGCCATACATTAATAACACTGACTATCATTAAACTCTAACATTAAATGATGATCCTTGGCTCCCAGTTAATGGAAGGAAATCCCCATTTCTCTACCCAGATACACACTACCTTAGTGTGCACAATATATAAATTATCAAAAGAAGAAGAAAACTGAAACCAAAGGGAAATTTGTGGTTTAGCCATATTACACGATCTTTGGGCTTAGCCATCCTTGGTACTCATCCTCAAGGGCTTGAGGGAGATCATAATGGAAAAGAGTAACGTGAGGTTGGATTCCTACAAGATGATTCACATAGATAAAGACGAAATCACAATGCAGATGAGAAAGTGAAAGGTATAACGGAAGTAATTCCATTCTTTACTTTGCAAGAAAAAAGTGTCCCCTGTTGACCTCCTAAGTAAACAAGGAGCCTGTAAATGGCTTGTATCAATAATGATGCCAACGTGGAATGTGAAAAATTGTATGAAATTTCAGGGGGTCAAAAACATTGAAGGACCAAAATTTGCAATCATTTGCCGACTTGATAGCATCCTGCAGTACAATCGTCCCTTTCTCTACTTCCTCCAATGATACATGAATAAATTATATTCAGTAGGAACTTTTAAGAGCCCACTTAACACAGCCACCATATCTCAACAACATCTAAGAACCATTTCTGTTGAAATCATTTAACTAGCACATTTCTATCATGAAACGTGCATACATCTAAAGCCTTCAATGCAGCATAGTTGTGCCTTATTTCTTTTACTAGAGAGTATTATTACGTGGGAAAATAACTTGCTGACCTAGCATCACCTTGCATACTTTAGAATCCCCCATCAACTAAGTATTTAAATTCATTTCAGGGAATAACGTTATGCACATCTCAATTTCATTCGTATGCATGCTTCCTTTTATGAAGATCTTAAAACATGAACAAATTACACCATCTCATTAAAGACACCTATTGAATGGTACACCTTCACCATCTCATAATAGACGCTCGTTGAACAATACCTCTCATAAAGGTAAGAATCTAAAATCGGCGAACTACAATAATTATATAATTAATACTCTTCAAGGGATGAGAGATGTGCAAGGATGATATTCTCATATTTTCGAAGCACTTTTACGAAACCATACCATTTCCAATCAGTTCGTTGATGAAATCATTGTAAAACTGCAGACCCTTTGGGTTGACATCACCCCTTCCCTCTACATGGAGCGGAGTTTTCAGATAAAACATGGTCATGAAAATTGTAGCAAATGAAATCGAAATGTAGTCCCATACTAGGAATAAGCCTTGACCAAGAAATAGAAAATCTATAGCCTTTTAATCCGAGCTCTTTCATGAGTTTGATGTCATCCTACAAGGCAGAGAGGAAAATGCTCATATTAAACGAATAGTGAGAAAAACATAGGATAATGAATATGGCTAAAAATAATGACTAAAAGACAAGCGCCCTTGATAAAACCGGCATTGAGTTTTATCTAGTCAGATATATGAAACTTTAGCAACCTCCACGATAACATTGCTTCGATGGTTAAGGGAGAAATTTGTTAAGTCATGATACCAGAAACTTAAATACTCTAAATTTACAGATGATGATCCGTTAAGTCAGTTATCGAATATTCCCACAGAGAATCAGGCTACGTGCAATTATCAGATGTTACAGTATTTCATTATAATCGCAACTCCAGAATATTTGACGGAAACATTTTCAAGCCGAGCAAAGATAGTGACCTGTACCTTGTATTTGTGATACCCGTCGCATGTTATATCTGCCGTACTTCCGTTTGCCACTTTTCCTGTATTTAGATGTGGTAACAAGTCATTTGAGAAATATATACCGAAAATTGGACTGGTGCATTTTCTCAGCCTCCCCGGCGAAAATTTCCGATAAGGTTTTGGCTATTGCTTGATCAACAGGGGCCATCCGAAAGAAGCAGTTACCGGCGTGAGCCCCGGTGTCCCAGACGCTGGGCGTCCTCCCGTCCTCCGCCGCGGCTCCTTCAACCTGCATCGACCGGGCTGGTGCGTGCTCATCAGACCCCTCCACCATTCGCCTCATTCTCAGGTGAAGAACAAAGGACCGAACATCTCACTTGATACGCCGACGTTCCAGATCCGAAGATGAAGTCGAGGGGAAAATCATCCCTGATGAGCTCCGTTCCAGCTCCTCCTGGGCTCCTCACCGACGCAATACTAGTCACCGGCAGTAGCACCAACAGCGCGAGCAGCAAGAGAACTTCACAAAGGACCCTTGCCCTCATCCTCTCCCCCTTCCCCCTTTCCCCTTTCTCACACTTGGGCGGGGAGAAGAGGAGAAGAGACAAGGGAGGGGAGCAGGTAGAATGGATTTCGCTGGGGGACCGTTATCATAGACGGACCTCGGATTATCATTTAAAATACCAGATTATTACCGACTAAACTATTAACTAAAAATATAAGAATCGTGTGGTATGAAAGAACAAAGAACTTCAAAGTGTACCACCCTACTGTACCTCGGATAACGCTTACTCTAATCATAACGAGATCGTCACTAGATCAAGCAATTGAAGTAATATCAATGAGTACATCTTTTTTATTTTTCTAAAATTAGAAACAATATAGTGTGATGTGGGCATAAACTACTTCAAAGTGTTTTATCACTAGAGTTTGACAGCATATTGAGCTACTTAATGTGGTAAGGTTATTAACTATGTGAGCGATCGATGGATGGCCGTAAAACAATCCCATTAATAGTCTACTAATACTTGGGAGAATCTTCAAGGAAGATTTTGAGTGTAAGTGACATTATGTTAGTGAGGAATTGATTGCCTTGAAGTAATTTGAGTATTAGTGTCATGAGCACTAGAGTAGTTGATAGCAAAAATAGTTATTTGGTCCTTAGGTTTGTTAGTACTTGTGTAATTTTCAGAAAAGATTAGTGAAAGTAAGGAATGTGAGCTCTTGAGATAGTGTATGAAGGTGGGAGGCTGAACCATTTTGAAATATGCATATACATTTATTGTGTTTGTTCTTCAATTCTAAAATAACTCAACTAGTTTTCTACATCAAAGATAATTAATAATTGATATAATGTAAGTTAGACTATTTATTATAATTTTGTACATGGTGGCCTATATTATATTGATAAAGCTAATGTTCACTCTTACTCCACTACATCATCAGACATAGCATAGAAGCATACCAGTAATTTCTCACTATTGAATTAAGAAGCATAATCTTGAGTCTTATAGTGAATAGAATTAGAAATGATTGTGTTCGCCCCTCTTTGACTTCATTAGCCATTCTAGAGTCCTTTATTTAGAATGTCTCACATAATCTTATGTCTCTTTCTCTTTACTTTCATATGTTGTTACTCTTAGTAGGGAAGTCAAACTCAATCCAATAAGTCTCCAGCCTGGTATAATCTAGTTTTTGAAAGAGATTCAACTCAAACAAGGATGAGGCCTTTTTTTTTTTTTAAAGTGCTTAGTTAAGGCCCAAGCCGTAAATTAAATTGGGCCTTACTAGGTCAGTTGAGGCCATGAAAGTGCTAAGTGTCAGATTTGAATGGCCCTCTTTGCTATTGAATTAAAACGAAAAGGAATATAATGCAATAGGTGAAATGTAATGAAACTCAAGTGAGTCATCTCTATATAAATCACTAAAAAATATAAAAGAAAAGAGCCTTACAATTTAAAATAGTTCAACATTTGGTAACTTGTTCTACTGTAAGGAGATATCTCATGTGAATTTCACTATCTATAGATGCAATATTTCTCCAATAGATTCCCTTTTCAAAGGCATGGCTTTAGGTGTCCAATAGACAAGGTCTTGCTTGTCTTTTAAATATTCATGGCTTTAAGGGTTTGAATTAAATATCTAGTGGTAGCTCATCCTCTTAGATTTATTGCTCTAAAATTGACCAGCTATGCTCATACACTTGTTGCTAGTGATAGATCTTTGCCACTATGAACCAAATAGTATCAAAGAGAATGAAAGTAAATCTTAAAATAGTGGATTTAGAAACTTTTTAGTTGTGTCATATGTGCGCCAAGAGTTAGATATTCTCAAAGCTTTCACACCTTGAAACCATATTGATAGAAATTCAACTTAGGTGTACAAACTTATTGTTGATGAAGTTACTTAAAGGGATCTTTAAAGATAAATACACTCAAGCTTCATAATTTTGTGTAGAATCAAGTCCATTAAAGGTTTAGATATCCTTAAGTGAGACCAATATGCAATTCTATTAGATGACATCTGGTAAGAATTAGAAGATGTTAAAAATAGAGTTGATAAAATATATTAAGATAATATAGTGATTTAGTAATCAAATCTTTTTAAAATTACCTCAAATAAAATGTGACCATCAAGTAAAAAGTTTCAGTTAGAATCTCAATATTTATAAACATATTTTCCGTGATTCAAATATTTTAAAGTTTTTTATCAAAATATACCAAAATGAGTGATCTAATTTCAATTGATTAATTTAATACAAAAAATATTTTATAAGTGACAATTTAATGTCATGGATACATAATTGATTTAGTGAGTTTTCATACTCATATGTTGTTTCATGAAGTCTCATTGATTTTGTGTCTTAATCACTCATTTTCTTACCATAATAATTTATATGAATATTGATGATTATATAGCAATATGTAAAATAATAGCTCCACATGATGAATCAATGTAAAAAACAGTTCAGTAGCTTATGTCATGAATATACTTAATGAATGTTCAAATGAAGATTTACCATAGTTATTTTAAATTATCTATGAACAGCTTTATATCTAGTCTCATATTAGGCATGTTCAGAATTAGACATAATTCAACATTTTTAATTGATCTTATGAGCATTTGAAATTGTCAAAAATTCAATCATTTAACACCCCAATAATCTCTCCCTTTTTACTGATCACAAAACCATACATATGTTATGAAGATCAATCAATTATTTTTAAATTATAAATGTTAGAATGCATCACAATATTTATGAAAATCTATAAATTAATTTCTATTAGTTGCATGTTATTTATGCCATAAATTAAGGTACGATAATTCAAAAATTGGACATTTAAAATAAAATATAAGTATTATATTGTACTATGAGTATATGATGATCATTTTTCTTGATAAATATAGTATCAATACTACCTCTATTAAATCCATTTCTATTAAGAAAGATGATAAGCTCTTTTACTACTCCTTGACAGCTTGTTTAACTCCATATAAAACTTTGGATAATTTCAAAATGTGATCAGGGTAATATGAATTTATAAAACATCAAGGTTGACTGACATAAACTTTCTCTATAGTGTTTTGATTAAAAAATACACTCTTCACATTCATTTGATGCATAGGCTAATAAAATTCTAATTGCTATAAGTGCATCTGTTTCATCGTAATCTATTCTTTTCATCTTTGTATAAGCTTGTACTATCAATCTAGTTTAATTTCTAACAACTTTTTCATTCTCATTTAATTTTTTCTTGAATATCCACTTGGTCCCTTTGGCATACATTTCGTTTTTCTTCACTACTAGGGTCCACACTTTACTTTTTTAAAACTAATTTAACTTCTTACTCATTACTTCAATCTAGATTATATCTACAATATGGCATATCATATTTATTGCTTCATTTTAAAAGTATTTTTCCAAATTATTTTTACTAGTATGTCCTATAAACATCTAACAATGTCTTATTTTTCTTTCGACAACTATATTTTGTTGAGGGGGCCAAACACTAGAAAATTAATGCAAGATACCTTGTACGGCATACAGTTATGAAAAAAATTAAAAATTAAAATTCTCTATTGTGATCACTTCTAATCTTCTTACTTGTATAGTCCTTTCATTCTCTATTTACTTGTTGAATTTTTTAAATGCTTTTAAAATGTCATATTTTTTTATAGGAGACAATATTAGAGAAAATAGTAGAATTTTAGTAAAAGTAAAAGTTAACATCTAGAATTGCCATCTAGAATATCATCTGAATATTTACCATGATCATTTTGAATTATATGTGAACACCTTCATCCTTAGGCTCATATTAATCATATTCAAAATTAGGCATAATTTAACATTTTTAATTGATCTAATGATTGTCGCCATCATCAAATCATGATATATTTAATACTCCAACAATATTTATATAGATTCAAATTTAAGGCTTGATGCACAATATAATTTTCTTTGTGTTATTTCGTAATATTTCTCATCTATTGAAATATGTGAACTTATTGTGCTATTCCAGAATCAAACTCGCATATGTTAAATATGAGGTATCATATACCATATTATTCAAGTATCACTCATTTTCTTTTCTCCATCTTCATTTTCACACATCTCAGTCATTGCAGATTTTTACTTAAGAATATTCACTTTCTAACATATTTGTGTTGGTCTCAGATTTGCATTAGAGCTTTCTAGAAAATAATAACTTTCATGCAATAAATACAATACCTGGCAAAAAATTGTGAAATAACCAATTCCCACTGTAGGTTTTTGTAAGTTTCAAATTCTATTTTAAAACTGAACATTGAAGATGCATTATTTAATGATAACAAGTAGATCTAGCACATTGAATATCTCCTTATTTCCTTCCGTTGCCACAAAATTCGTAATATTTTTTGCAGGCACAGCTAGCCATCAAATGATGCAACAAATTTGAAGCTGAATATCTTCGATTCCATGAAGATCATCGACATAGAAAGTTATATATTTGCATTACCCACATATTCTGAAATGTATAGCACTTTACCGTCCAAAGACAAGAAACTGCACATCAACAAAAAGAAAGAGCCCGAAAAATACCTTTATTTCATATGCAAATTTGGTAGTGTAATGCCTTCATTCCCATATAAAATCCGAAGAATAATTTCTTCAGATGTTAGTCAATGTACCAATCGCTCTCATTATGTTAGTCAATGTTCTGCAGTCAACACCAAGAAATCACATCTTCGGCTCACCTCCTTTGAAGATGGAAAATGTGCCGTCCTATCTAATAAGAATACCTTCGGCTTCGGCTCACCTATGTGAATGAGCATCATTACCAGAGGTAGGGAGAAGAAATATGAAGAAGTTTAGGAAAGCTTAAAGCAATCTCCCTCAGACTTGGTGCATGGCGTGTGTAAAACGTAGTTGCTGCACTAGACTTTCCAGAGAAGGGAAAGACAACCACAGTGGAGATATAGAATAGAGAGCTGAACTTGGAACACGGACCCGAGCAGACTGAAGTAAATGGGGCCACAGTTCCCATCTAGGCTGGTGGCAGGCCAGCCAGAAGCTCGCCAAAACACATAGAAGAGCACACAAAGCCAGGGAATAGGAAGATGAGGCTTGTGATTGAGGTGAGGCAGCATTAGTATGAGTAACCCTTAAGAAGCAGACACCCAAACCACTAAGGAATTCTAAGGCCAAAGATTGAGCAACCGTTCTCACCAAAAAATCGAGATGAAAAAGAAAAGGAGCTTACTATGGATTACACTGAAGATAAAAGTTAGCGCATCCAAGTTCAATAAAGAGGCCGAAAAATTTCCAGGACCTGATGACTGGTCATTGAGTGTTTACCAATGCTTGCAACAGCTCATGAACTTAAGCTTGATGGCGCTCGCCAAGAAATTTGGAAATAAACCATGGAATATCAAACATTTTGATGCAACCCACATTTTAAACAAGCTCATTGCATTCGTAGCTGGCACTAAACAAAAGGGATTCAATTCGAAGCAAATGCTCACGCAATAAGTGTGGTAGGTAAACAATTAGGTTCTCAGAATATGAAATGGTAGGGATTGGAATGAACCAGCAGAGAAGGATACAAGTTGCAAGATATACAAGATGTCTGAACTCGGAAATTGTGATCCAGTGTCTGAGTCTACATCTTTATGATGGTAATATGAAAAATCTGATAATAGTACTGGAATAACCCTATTAAAAGCATTTTGAAGAAAATGAGAGAGATATAAATCTGAGCTCTTTTCGAATATGTGCCCAACGGTCTCATATACCTACTAAAAATCAGATTATGATCCAGTGTCTGAGTCTGCAACTTTCTGATGGTAATATGAAAAATCAGATAATAGTATTAAAATAACTCTACTCAAAACATTTTGAAAACAATGAGAGATATAAATCTGAGCTCTTTTCGAATATTTGCCCAACAGTCTCTATATACCAGAGCTCTGTCCTTCAAATGCATGAAATTGTTGTTGGAGTAGACCCAAATAAAGATTTACGTAAGGAAGAGTAGTCAAAAACTAAGTGAAAGGGTTGCATTTGGACCGTACGGATCTGGCCTTGTGGGAATTCAAATATCCTGATACAGATTCTTCAGCATAGCGACCTTTGAATTGATAAGAAGAGAGTTATTTATGGGTCAACATGATGTAAAGTAAATATTAAGACACATGTGACAGATCGGACTAGGATCCAGCCACCACATGCTTTATTACGGCAGCAGAACTGGCACTTTCACAACTTTAACGCAATGCTTCTTTATCCTGAAAAAACTGCTGATCCAAAGAAATGCAATTTACAAGAAGACTAACAAATTAATTCTCCATCATGTGCCAGCGGTCAATAATTATGTAAAAGCAATTGCAGAAAACTGTGAAATCTGATAATGGACCAAAGTAGCACATCAAACAGGTCACAGACAGAAAATCACTAAAAGTAGACCACTAATTCAGAAGATCCTGATACTATAGTTATCACAGGTATAATTTTGAGACAGTTCGTAATTATATTTTGCTGAAATTTAAATCAGGAAACATTGAATTTATCAGCAATAAAAAAAAGCAATGGCCGTAGATTTCACCAAGCCAAAAATGATAGAAATGAGTGAAGGATGGCCAACAGGATGAGGCATTCAGGTGTACATTGGCCGTTCAGTCCATGCTCCAGAGACATGGCCGTTATCGCACACATAAGCTCTAACCTCGGGCTCCCCATCATCGTGGTACCCAAAAACCCTCCGCAAGCAGAAGGCAGAGTAAAGGTCCCACGTCTCACAGCAGGAGCAGAAGGCGCAGCCAATGGGGATCTTGTTCCGATTTCCATCAGTAATCGACCTCCAGACAGAGGACCGTTTGAAGTCCTTGAAGACACCCCGGAAGAGCATATACTTGCGTTTCTCCTCCGGATGAACGCAGCCAGGCCAATTGCAGATGTAAAGGCAATCCGCCCTGAAACGGCTAGCCAGGAGTTTGTGCCCCTGCTCTCTGCTCAGGTTCCAGGCGCCACCAGAGGCCAGGTGGGCACACACGGGGACCTCGCACTGCTTCTGCTTCTTCTTCTTCTTCTTCTTCTTCTTGGGGAATTCCCTGAGGATTCCAGCAGCGGGCTCGGGATCCTCTGCGTCTGAGATAATCTCATTGGAGGTGGCCAGAGGTTCGGAGGCGACGTACATGGTGTCGAAGTAGAGATCATCATAGAGAGACCAGCTGCAATCTGTCGATGGAGCAGCGGCGGTGGGGGCGGCCGCCGTCGATTCAGTGGATGAAGAAGACGAAGCTTGGCGAGGTAGAGTGCGCGCTCGGACGCGCCGATAGTTCTCGTCGGGCCCAATCTCCCGCTCGAGACCGAAATCGGAGTTCTCGAGCAAAATCCCCGCATGGAGGAGGCCCGGGCAGCATACTGACAGTTTGTAGAGGGCCGCCCAGCCGCCGGGAGGGGTGTCAGCGGCGGCGGCAGCGGCTGCGGAAGAAGGGTGGGAAGACAGAAGGTTTGAGACGACGGAGGGGATGGAACGGGAGCACTTGGAGCGGTAGCAGACGTTGCGGACGATGGCGGAGAAGCGGGTGGAGACGCACGCGAGGCGGGCCCAATCCCGCGGGTCGCCCTCCAGCTTCAGGAAGATGTTGATCACGATGTCGTCGGACAGCAGCAAGAAGGCGGCGCCGGGCGTCTCTGACATGGTTGAGGAGGCGCCACCGCAAATTTTCCCGGCTCGCCGTTGCTGGACGACTAGGGTTACAACAAACCTGATCAGATTCTTTCCCAATTTCCGAAATCACAGAACATTCGACCAAATGGAACGCCAGTTGGCATCGATGAATTAAGGATGACCGACAGACCGTCCAACCATTGGAGGGTACGGAAGCTGGATCGAGAAAGGCAGCAACTGGGGTTACCACAAATCAGATCAGATTCTTCCCCTTTCCAGAATCAAAGAGCATCCAACCAAAAGGGAACACCGTCGGCATCGATGAATTAAGGAAGGCCGACGGATCATGCCAACATGGCAGGTATCTAGATCGAGAAGAGCGATGACGATCGGAAACAGAGATCACGATCTGCCAGAAACCGGAACCAATAGCGACAGCGAAAAAATGGCAGATTCCTCACCACCGAGACGGCGAGAGAGGGGTACAGGAGGGCCCTCGCCGTACTGTTCGTCTCGGATCTTCGTAAGGCGGGAAGAGGATGGCGGAGCCCACCGTCGCTCTCCGACGAGGCGGGCGGCGGAGAAGGGGGAGCACGGCTCTGCGCTCCATCACTCGCTAACCTCCCCCCTCCTTCTCATGGCCAACCTTACCGCGGGCCGGGCCGAGAAAGAGGAATGCCCAGCCCGAAATCCTGCTTTGATGACGTCATCAAACGAGTTCCAAATCATTGGCGGGAAAGATCTGCGGAAATGGTGAGTAAACGGGAGGGGAATGGGGGACGATTCGCCGCCGCCATGGAGGAGGACGACGGAAGGTACTGGCTGATCTTCTCGGAGCTCGAAGGTCAAGAAGCCCTTGGGGAATCCGGCGGCTCGGTGGTCTCCGTCTCGGAGGCGGCTCTGTCCGAACTCCAGGTGCTGCTGGACGATGGTGATCGCGATGGCGTTGAGCTCTGGGACCGTCTCGTGGCGAGGAATCTGCCGTCGTCGAGCATCGTCCGATGGATCGCCGCCGGGATGGACAGTCCTGTTTCTCGTGCCTCTCTCCTCGCTTCTCGCGTCTACCTCTCTGCGCTGCTCTCTGCCTCTGCCCCTATCTATACCCTGTTCAACCCTCTCGCATTTCTCTCCCTTCTCCGATCCTTACGCCGCTCCCTCAAGATCCAGCCAGGTGGATCTGAATCCTTTCCTGCTGCGGAATCCTCTCGTGAAACCAATCACCGGAAGAACGCCAGCAGGAAGAGGGGGGGAGGTGGTGCGAGTACGTCGCACAGGTTCGGTGGGCGGGATACCGTAGACCAGGATATGAGCATTGAAGAATTGCTGCTGCAAGTCCTCGAATTTCTGGAGTTGGTTCTCGACAAGGTTCGACTCGACACGGTGCCCGATGGGGTCAAGTCCCTAGTTGAGACCATGGCAGGAATCCTCAAGAATCCGAGTGCACCGCATCACCGCTTGTCTGATTCATGCTTTCGCATACTCTATGGCCTGGTTTCAAGGCCTCAGCATGGTGATCAGTCGCAAGCGGCCATTGAAGTGATGAGAGTACTGGTACCTATGGTCTTTCTGCCTCTCAAATCTCCCACAAGGTCTGCTGTACTGGGCTTTTTAACTCATCAGCTAGCGGGGATGGCGAGAGAGAATGGTGAAATCAGAAAAACGCTACTTTACTTGCCGAGGTACCTTGCTATGAAGGCTCCAGATAAGTCTGAGCCAAGAGCATCTGCAGTAGATGCCATCGTAGAGATTTTGAGGATAATGGAGTCAGAGGACCAGGTTGCTTTTGTAGAATACGTCAACAAGATGGCCCAGGGAAAGGCACAACTCAGGTTTTTAGCGGTTGACTTGATCCTTTCGCTGTTGACAACATTGCCCAATCCACTGGGAGTTGATAGCCCTGACAACTACTGCGCTGATGGAACCTGTACGTGGTGGGGCATAAGATGCCTACAAGCTCTTTTCCAACGTTGTTCTGATGTTTCAGCCGTAATTCGAGCTCGGGCACTGACAAACCTGGCTCATGCGATTGGATCTTTATCTGAAAATATTAATAATCACCCCTTGCTGCAAAGTTTCATCACATCGAGGTATGAGAAGTTTAACAATTTGCTGAAAAAAAGGTGTTTGGATGAGAAGGCTGCAGTGAGGAAGGCTACACTACTACTCGTCACTAAATATACGTTGATGACCGGGCAACCGATAGATGAGATAATTCTGAAGACTATTGGACGTGCTTGCTCTGACCCATTGATCAGTATTCGAAAAGCTGCTGCTTCAGCTCTATCAGAGGTACCTGCCTCTATTTCTTCTTTTATGAAATTATTTTTCCGTTATATAAGATTTTTCCATATTGAAGACTTGTTATGTTCTCATTGGTTTGTAGGCATACAGGAAATTCAAGGATAGCAGAGTGATCAAAGAATGGCTGCATGCTGTTCCCCCTCTGATTATGGATAATGAGACAAGCATCCAAGAGGAATGCGAGAATCTTTTTCTTGAACTGGTCTTGAACTGGATATCTGCTGTTGGGAATGCAAAAATCATATGTGATCCACCAAATCTCGAATCAGTTTACTCCCAAGATGTCCTGGCTCTGTTGAGAGGGACATGTGATTTCGAGGTGGCGCCATACGTAAAGAAGATATGCGCAAGCCTAGGAAAGAAAAGAAAGCTGAAGAATTCAATAGCTACGTCACTTCAGAATATTATTACGATTTCCGAATCAATTTGGACGAAAAATTCTATGCGTATAGAAAAGTGGACAGCTCCGCCGGGTGCTTGGTTTATTCTTTCTGAGATTTCTCCTTTCGTTTCAGAGGCAATAAATTGGAAATTCCTCCATCACCACTGGGAGCTTCTTGATCAGGCTTGTTCCATGGACATGAATGGGAGTGTAGATAAATTGGAACCCACATCTGTCATGTGGGCTGGAGACAGAGTGTCACTCTTACAGACAATCTCCAACGTTTCTCGGGAGCTGCCTAGTAAGCCTGCAGCAGAATTGGGTCATAACCTGCTTAATCGTATTCAAAATTTTAATATGCATTTCACTGAGGTAAGCAAAACCTTCCCGCCAAAACTATTACACGTTCCTCTGTCATACAGATATACAAAGCTCTGATCTTATTATGTCCTGGCATAGACTGCCTATTTAAGCTATACTTTTGGTTCTCGCATGGGATGTACGAGCCAATTTTTTTTGTATTGCCAATGTAATTACATGCAATGTTTGTGCAGACAAATCTCATATTTAGTAGATTTAGAACAAGGAAACGAAGATTTTAAGTTTTAAGCTCCTGTTATCTACCATGGCACTACTCTCCACAATCCTATGTTGCCTTCACATTCCTAGTAAATTTACTTTCTCCCAACATTCTACTCTTTTATTTTCAATGGATTTCTGCTACCTAATACTTCAGTCATGGTGAGGAAAATCCCCATTTCTTTATTCGTTTGTCAAGACGTGCAATTCTTCTAAAATTCATGTCACTGTCATCAAGATGTGCATTGCTTGTTAGTAACCCATTTGACTACTTATTGTTTCGGATGACAATATCTTTACCCAGGCGAAGTCCAGGGTAGCAGAAATCATTCTTCTCTCTAGTCATTTAAGCACAGGTTCGTCTAACACTAAACCATCCATGAAACACCAGTTTGGAGATTGGTCTCTTGTTAAAGCCACATCTGGATTTTTGTTAATGCTATTACAGTCTATGGTAGGAATTAGTCAACTACTTCCGCCAGGTTTTACAGAAAATACCCATATTCTCATCTTTATAATTTAAGATATATTTTCAATGAATTTTAATTTTTCTAGCCCCAATATCTTCACTGAATGCACATTTAGCACTTTGGTTAAAATGACCCAGAAACATGTTTCTTCAAAGATTGGAAGCCATAGAATCCAGTATGCCAATATGGACGATTTTTCGACATGCCTGCTATTTAAACTTGAAAACGTTCTGTGTAAGTTTCACATAATGCTTTTAAGAATTATGAGAGTCCTCTCACATTGTTGCAGATTTTTTTAATGTTCGTACTTCTGATGAATCGAAACGATACATAATGATTATTTTCATAGAAAATTGTTCCATGTCCGCTAGCTTATTATCATCCATGTTCAACCTCTTCATTCATCTCAGTTTTGAGAAGGTTGATGCACTGTGAGGAAGCCATTAAACAATGATAATCCTCGGATTTTTGTTTTAAATCCTGTGCAAAAGGTATGTGAAAAAAATGTGGCATCCAGTTTCATAAACGAAACAGATAGATACAGTCGTCATCTGATCTAATCTATTTTTATAATGAATATGTCAAAATTTTGTGCGAAACAATAAATTTGCTGTCATTCATGAGATTAGTCTCATGAGTAAATCTCCGAGTCTAAATTATCTTCCTCTAGTCCTATGATACTGGTTTCCAATTGGATTGGCTATTCCCAGCCTAGTGAATACAGACCGAGTATAAAGAATGTGGCATAATCATCGAAGGTTCTTTTCTTATTTTTCCATCTCCTAATTCTCAAAACCTCACAATTTTAAGCAGAATATGTAATCCTGTGGAGATGTTTTTCTATGTGGCGAGACCTCTTTTGAATAATTTTTTTTCCTCCAACAGAATACTAGTTTCATTCTGGCATATTATTGTTGCTGCATTATTGAAAATGTGAAAGGCTTATTTTTGTTTTTATCTCCTTTGCATATTGTTAAAGAACAGTTCCATCCTCCCCCTTTCTGCGCTTGTTGATAGGTCGATGCTCATGTAAAGGCGCTCACAACATTATGCAAGCGGAAGGCTACAAATAATCATGAGGGTGACGCTCTTGTATTGAAATGGGTGGGTCAGGTATTATTCAAAGCCCTGGAAACTCTTGAATACTATATTGGTGAAGTCTCACGAGATAAAGATGATGGTAATTTACGAACCCCGTTGGGTAATAAGAAGAAAGGGACAACAGCATCACCATCCTTGTCACAAGCGGTGGTTGCAGTGTTCACTATTGGATCAATGGTCCTTGTCTGTCCATCTGCTGATCTAAAGGGAGCCATTCCCAAGTTACATGCTATCATCATTCCTCCAGACACTGATCAGAAAAGAAAAGAACTTACAGGGTTGACAGTTGCCATGAAAGAGATCGCTCCATCCTTGTACATCCAATCATGGGTAACAATGGGAAAGATATGCCTTGTGGATGACAAACTTGCAAAGCGCTACATCCCACTGTTCGTACAGGTTTGGGCTAAAAAAATATTTCTCCTAATTATTAAATTGTTTGAATCGCTATTAAGTTCGAAAACTTGTTTGCTTATTGACTTAGGAGCTTGAGAGGACTGAGTCAGCTGCTCTTCGGAACAATATAATGATCTCAATGACGGATTTTTGCGTTCGGTATACTGCATTAGTTGACTGGTATGAAAGACATGTAACGTATCTCATTCTTTGACAATGTATAACTCAGTATTGGTCTCTAGTGCTAAAAACATCAGTTTTTATGTGGGTATTGCAAAATCCGATTTGTGTCTCTTACTACACTGGTAAACTCAGACTGCTTACATTTCAAGTTCATGACTAGAGTTCACCAAATTGTGCAGTGGGGATAGATTTAATTAGTTTACAATGCACAGACTGCATGAATATGATTTATTATTTTCTTCTTTGGGGTACAGGCATGAACACAAGTAATGAAAATGACACACGAACACATAATTATTGAAAACGAAAGAGAGCATAAGAGTGCTCCATTGAATGTAGGCAAACCGATGCCTGTGTGAGCATTAGATGAATTGACACCATGTTTGAGGTTGATTGATTGCAACGGAGGTTTGCTGATTAAAAAAAAGTTATGATCCTTGAACTGATAAAGTCCCAGCTTTGTGGCAAATTTGTAGTGATTCTCATAATCTGTGTTGTAGTCCTATAGTAGACAAGATAAATATTGTGAGATTGCTCCACATAATCTTGTGGAGCAATCTTGTGGTAATCGAGTGAGATTGCTCCACATGTTGCCCATTGGTTCTGAGCTGGGTTTTCAAATATTTTAGCTTACCATTGCAACATAATCACTGTAGGTTGTGTGTGCTTAATCTCTTTTGTCTGTGTGATGATGTTTAAAAGTTGACCTGCTCATAAGGAGTAACGCTAAGAATTGTACACATTAGAAATAATAAAATATGAAACAAGTCCATTCAACGCGAATCAGCTTCGTGCTGGATAGCATAATACTTTAAGGGGATATTATATTTAAAAGGTTGAAGACTAGCTTCGCAATTTTTTCTTCTTATTTGGTATTTCAAAACTACTAACTTAAAGTTTTATGATTGTAACTGATGTCTCAGAAATATTGATTGCATATGCTCTATAAATCTCTGTAGCAAGGTTGATCAGAAAAAAAAAATCGTAATTGCCAACACAACTCTGAATAGCTGTCCTGCCACCTCTCTGTTAGTTATAGTCATATCCTGGAATGCATTTTTTCTTCTGTCGGTTGAAATTGCATGGGTTACTTTGTGTTCAGGCGAGGTTGCTTAGATATATTGGTAATGTATACTTACTGCCCAGAGATTTGGAGAAATTGGATTCATGAGGCCAATTTTCTGTGCTAACCCCCTCAGCATAATCATACTTTTCATCGCTCATCACAAGCTCCATTCGACCGCACAGCCATTCAAACTGGTTTTTTTTTTCTTGTTTTACAGTTATATTCCAAATATCACCAACTCGCTGCGTGACCCGTGTGAGATTGTCAGAAGACAGACCTTCATCCTCCTCTCAAGACTAGTACAGGTTGGTCTGCGCTCTTGACCTCTTCACCCACGCCATTTTCCCATTGTTTGCTAGATGACGCAGCGTTTGCATGGTTCTCTCCCAGAGAGACTACGTAAAGTGGAAAGGCGTCCTCTTCCGGCGGTTTCTCTTGACTCTCGTCGACGAATCTGAGAAGATCAGGCATCTGGCGGACCACCTTTTTGGAAGCATCATAAAAGGTCAGGCAGGCTGCCTCCGCCATCATCACTGGAATTTTCAACTGATCAAGAGCAGAAAATTAACCCAGTTCCTGCTGTTCTTGGTCAGTCAAAGCGCCACTTCTTGCATACAACAGCTTCATAGAAGCCATCTTCGTCCTCAACGACTGCCGCTCCCACTCCGGGCACTGTGAGAGCCATGGGAACTCGCCAACCAGCAGCCAGCTTTTCTCGATCAGGTGAAAAAACTCTGCAAATCCAGTTCCAGAATACCAAGAAGAAGGCGATGGTGAGAACCCATTTATGGTCTTACTTCTCTCTTTGCAGGGGGAGTGACGAGAAATCTCGGGCACAGAGGATGCGCATTTACGTCTCTCTGCTGAAGCAGATGGCCCCAGAGCAGCTGCTGGCAACCTCCGCGAAGCTGTGCGCCGAGATCCTCGCGGCCGTGCCGGATGGGTTGCTCAACATCGACGACGCCGCCGGGCAGTCCGTTCTCCAGGTAGATGGAGATGAGTCAAATCGTCGACTAGTTGGTGGCTTTGAGAAAATCTCAGAGATGGGCTACGTACGCCTCTGCAGGATGCTTTGCGGATCCTCGCCTGCAAGGAGATGCGCCTTCAGCACACGCGCGGCGGCGAGCCGGCGGAAGCGGAGGAGGAGGCGGCGGCGGACGGCGGCGCCGGCGCCGCGCAGGCGGCGAAGGGGAGGGCGGTGACGCAGGCGTCCAAGAAGAACCTGATCCAGCACGCGGTGCCCATCTTCATCGAGCTGAAGAGGCTGCTGGAGAGCAAGAACAGCCCCCTCACCGGCTCTCTCATGGAGTGCCTCTGTGTCCTCCTCAAGGACTACAAGAGCGAGATCGAGGACATCCTCGTCGCCGACCGGCAGCTCCAGAAGGAGCTCGTCTACGACATGCACAAGTACGACGCCGCCAGGGCCAAGTCCAGACTCGCCGGAGCCGACGGTGCCGCGGGCGAGAGGGTCGCCTCGGCGGTGGCGGACGCCGCCGCGCGGGCGACTGTCCGCTCGGTGCTCAAGGAGGCGAAGCGGGACGCGCCCACCCCGCCGCTGAGCGCCATGAGTTTGCCCAAGGTCAGGTCCGCAGCCGCGGGCGGCGGCGCCACCGGAGCTGACCGGCCGAGGGAGCTGCTGGAGTCCCTTCGGAAGAGGCAGTCCTTCGACTCCGACGACGACAACAACTAGTCCGACGCCCTCCCCCCTCCCCATGTAAGTACGCCGTAGCCCATCTACCTATTGCAGCATTTTTACTATACTTAATGTATGTTCCTGATCGATCAGAAGAGTGGGTTGCAAGTACTCAAACTCTCTCTCTCTCTCTCGCTAAGATCAGTGTGGGGGATAGAATTAGGCTTTGGAGGGCAGTTTTAAGTCTGACGGAACGATCGGAGGTTTGACTTTAGCAGACAATTATGGTAGGGATCAGAAGGATAAAAGATTTAAAGCTGGGTAATTTCGTTAATTTTGGCTTTTCTTCGAATTCGGATCTAATCGGCCATTCTGTGGGCCTCACAATCGTACGACTTCGGAGCCAACTCACGATTGAGAAGTCCAACTCTGGGCTTCTGGCCAAAACCTAACTCTCCCTCGATCTCGACCGGTGCGATTCGCTTCAGTCTCCCCCCTCCTCGCAGGCGTTTCCACAACTGTATGATCGGATCGAGAGGAAAGCTCGGGTCCCCAGGCTGTGATACTCCGCCACCCGTCCCCATTTTTGGAATCAGGATGTCGATGATTATCTCGATCTGCATCTCCGGGAGGGGAAATCTTCACTCGGTGATTCTCTAAGGTTGGTTTCGCTTGCCTTTTGGAATCCGGCTTCTGGATCGTTTTTTTCCGATCTGGAACAGTAGGGTTCGATCTCAGTTATCATCCATTGATAGGCTCCAATTTCGCATCATCGTTTTCTGGGAATCTTGCGGTTGGAAGGAGGAAATTCGGTTTCTGGGGGATCACGTTGATGAAGGACAGCAACAAGGATGAGGCAGCAAGGAGTGTTCGAATCGCAGAGGCGGCCATCGCTTCTGGTGACCAGCTCCGTGCGCGGAAGTTCATTAAAATTGCTCAGCGTCTTGACCCTAACATCTGTGTGGAAACCCTACTGGCCTCCTGCGAGAAGCCGGATGGTGCTATTCCCACACTTGGGCACCAGGCTGCCGTTGACCCTTCTCAATCCTCTAAGCATTCCGAAGCTTCCAGTTACCAGCGTCATCATACTGCAGAGCAGGTGAAGCTGATCAGGGAGATCAGGAGAAGCAAGGATTACTACACAATTCTTGGGGTGGAGAAGACCTCCTCTGGGGAGGAAATCCGAAAGGCTTACAGGAAGCTGTCCCTTAGGGTACATCCGGACAAGAACAAGGCCCCTGGAGCGGAGGAGGCCTTCAGGACTCTCTGCAAGGCCTTTCAGTGCTTGAGCGATGAGGATTCAAGGAGATTGTACGACCAGACTGGCGCAGCTGGAGATTCTGAGATCAATTACCAGTACAGGGACATGGGATACAGGAGGAGGAACTCTACAAGGGATAGCTTCCTTGATGAAGATTCTGACCCAGATGAGATTTTCCGATCCTTCATCTTCAATCAGCGTGCCTTCCAAGCTCATCATCTTCATCGGACCAGAGGCCACTCCCATCAGTCGACTGGTTCTACCAGTGCAGAGGGACAGGGGTTTGTAAACCTGTTTCAGATCTTGGCCATGGTGGTCATCTTCTTGGTCGCCTTCATGGTTTACTCTGAACCAGAGTATGCCCTGCAGCAAACTCACATATACCAGGTCCCAAGGATCACGGAGAAACATGGAGTGAAGTATTATGTTAGGTCTGAGGACTTCGATCAGCAGTGCCCAGCAGGGAGCCCATCCAGGGAGAAGCTTGAACAGGAGATCTTGATGGACTATCGGAATGTGTTGAGACGTTACTGCCACATTGAGATGATTAGGCGTCAACGGTTGAAGAACTATCAAACTCCTCACTGTGATAAGCTCCAGAGCCTCATGGTAGCTTGAGTGGCTGGTGGATGGTAATTTCTTGGTCTGATAAGATGAAAGTAATTTTCTATATCGTGAACAAGTTAGGTTATAGATTTCTGCAATGAGTGGTTTTCTCAAAATTCCATACGCAAATGTGTGTGTATATATATATATATATATCTCCTCAAGACTTCTTTCTTTTTTTTCATTCTTGGCTTTTTTAGATTCTGTGAATTTTAAATCCTCCTCAATGTTGAGGAACCAAAGCATTTGATGGCAAAAGAGTCATTCTGTGCAGTGAAATAATGTAATACATTAAAGTTAATATTTAAGTATGTAAGAAGTTGATAATGGGAAGAATATACGCATCAATACCAATATTTTAGCATATCATTTTATGTTACGAAATAGCACACAACCAACAAATAATTCAATATTTGATATTTATAATGCATAACAAAGCAGCACATCAATGTAAATACATTAGTATCTAAGGTATTATATTATGAAATAGGAAGTATACTAAGGTTTATATTTTAATGCATTAGGTTGCAAAACTTAAGTATTGAATCATGGAGTGGTACATTGATATTTCAGTATATTAACACAATATGCTAAACTATAAAGCTTATGTTGCAGAACAATAAATTAGGATAAACTTAGTATGAAAGCTATATTGCAAAACAATGTAATAATCAATGTTGTTGTGATAGTATAATAGGTGTTTTGTAGCAAAATAACAGAATATACTACACTTAAAATGTTAGTACATCGAGCAATATCTCAAATATTTAAAAAATCAAACTAGGAAAATAAGAATATCTAACTTTTAAATAAAGATATAGAAAGTTTGGGATATCTAACTTAATTTCAGAACATGAGAATCATAATTTGTAGTAAAATTGGTATATGAAGCACGCTATTTCAATATGTGGCATGAGATCTTATTAGTATAAAAATAATATAGTAAAAGACAACTGTTTAGTATGTCCAGGTTATAATTTGAATGACACATAATGCAATCCTGCCACTAGTTGAAGAATGAATGAAAGAATCAGAGTGGGATTTCAAAAAATAAGAAAAAATTTGGAAGTCAAAAAATATAAGACAGAAAGAGGAACCAAGTAAGGTAGTAAAAAAATAGCTTTCATCAATATGAAACCTTTCTTTTTCAACATCTCAAAGATGACTAGAAGATGAGATCAAATTGAGTCTCCATTGATGACATCGTTAGACAAGAAAGTAGTGATAAAACTTTAAACTCCAAATCAATACACCATGATACAAATGTCATAAAATCAATGTTTACATAGTTTAACATAACTATTCTTTAAATTGATTGATAGAAGCCTATCATTATCAAGAAGTACTAGTTAGTATTGACATTTCTAGAGGTGTAAATAAAAACTTGTAATAAACATCAAAGTTACAACATTTATCTCCATAGAGCTATCAATGACAATGTATTAACAAAGAGGATTTGGGATAATAAAGCCATGAATCTAGTGAAAGCAACCCAATGTTGAATGATCAGCCACTATAATCAGTGAATAATAAAACTTAGAGAAGATAACTTTCCAAAAAGGCAAGGAAATCAAGAGAGACGAACAACTAGAAATTGCGTCTTGATTTCTGATCACCTTAATTACTTCATGTATTTATTTCTTTATTATTTATTTACTCATTGTAATTTAATTATATATATTATTAATTATTCAATAGGGCTCTAAGAGTAGCTTCTTGTGATTGAAAACTTTATTTGCATGAATATTCAAGTTGTTGAGCATTATATACATGATATTTTGATGACGATGAACAAGTATAAGATCAATCAAGGGGTTGAATTATACTTATTCCGAATATATATGATATGAAGATAAATGTGAAATTTATTATATACAATTTAATATAGTACTTATAAATTATATTTAATAATGTATAATATTTATAATTTGATTGATTGTATCACATGAAATTATCATGTTATATTTTATTCTGAAAATATTATTATTTAGAAAATATGTCATTAAGTGAAACTAATGATTAGTTCATCAAAATCAACAAGGTTCTAGAAACTAAAATATGAGCATGAAAATTTACATAGTCTATCATGTGCTTAGAGAAACAAAGGTGTAGAAGGATTAAATTGGTGATCTTGACTATAGGAAAATATCACATATCATTTCAATATTTCTCAATGTAAAGTTTGCGCAAGGTAAATGTGTTATTATCTTATGTGCAAGTTTTAATGTTTTAATGTTTTTATTTTTTTGTACCAAATGGTTGTACAAATAAACATGTAAGTAACTATTAGAAATATTTCTTGATAAATAGTCAAATATAATATATTTTTAAATAAATTTATCAATATATTGAATTATTAATGCTTTAATAAGATTACTAAACTAATATTTTTTTCAAAAGACAAAATAGTATACTATTTTGAGTTATCTAACTAAATTTATTTTTATTTAATGAAATGTATAACACATTTAGGTGAGTCAATGAAAAGTTGATCCAAAGATGAATTCAAAACTAAAAAATACATATTAAAATTTAAAATATTAAAAGAGTCATGATTTGTATAAGTTTTAAAATTATTTTTCTGTACTTATAGAACCTCCACATAGCCCCTTAAGGCCCCCCTAAACTCAACCATTAGACTTAAAGACCAAAAAGGGTGATCTAACATCACCATAAAAGGGGACATTTCACCTAAATTAAGGTGATAATAAATCAAACGAATTTCAAATTAGTGGCTAAAATAGAATTATCTAAGGGCAAAATAGTCTATTGATTTGACTTACCTAATTAAACTAATTTTTGTTTAATAAATAGATGACACATAGGGGTGCTAGTCATTAGAAAGTTGATGTAAATATGAATTCTAAACCAAAAATGCACATCAAAATTCAAAGTATTAAAAGAGTTATAATTTTTACAAGTATTATAATTATTTTTCTGTATTTTACAGGATCTCCACATAGCCCCTTAAGATTTGTCTAAGCCCAACTATTATACCTGATAAGGACAAAAAAGTGGTTGTCTAATCTCACCATAAAAAGATTCATTTCACCCAAATTAAGGTGAAAAATTCAAACAATATCATTTTCTTATCCACCTCATCTCAAATCTCAAAAATTGAAAGTCAAAAAGAGATTGATTCAATAGAGTTAGACTTATCAATAGAAATCTCAAATGCATCTTCCATCAGTCTAATACTTCTCAAATCCTTTAATAACTCATAGTGTATCAAATGACAAATTTAAGTCAACAATAACCTTATTCTTAATTAATTTTTTGTTCTTATTTTTAGTTGTGGATTGATTAAAACACATGTGGTGTGTATCAACATAGTCGCATAGGGTCATTGAGACACCTACAACATGATTACATTAAAGATTATGATCACCAAGGTTAAAGGGTTAAGTAGAATGATCATAAACTTATTGAGCCTAGTGATGTAAAAGATTTATCCTTACAAAGTTAAGTATATTTTAATGGTAAAATAGTGAAACTAAGGTCGATTGTTTGAAAGTAGATGGAAAGTTCACTTCATATAAAAATTTGTTGAGGCACTAGTTTGAGATAGCCATGACACCCAAGAGAGGTGACACCAAAGACAAGGCCTAAGGGTCTTGTCTAGGCAGTTCACTAGTAGCAACTTAGAAACAAAGGACAAGCCGACCTACTTAGCATCACATAGTTAGAAGGACTAATATGTTATCATTAGATCAAGAATGGTCGAGATGACCAAAGAGGAACCAATGACCATGACAAGAATGGTTGGTCAAATGAAGGATAGGAGTTGTCCATAAGAATGCTTGGCTACAAAGAAGAAGGAAAGAAGAATTCTGAAGTCTCTACAAAGTCTTGGAGATCATGTATCTTGAATTAACCTTCCTGCTTCCTATCCCTCTAGTAGAGACTTCATTAGGTCTCTCTTGTCTCTTGTTCTCTCTCATTCTCTACCTCTCTCACTTGATTGTGTTATGTTGGTCTCTATTATTATATTTTGGGTTTGAGTTTAAATTCTAGCAATTTTTCACTGTCCATTTTTGTTGACCTCCCTTGCATCTTTCCTCCACAACATAAGGTACCTATCAGCTTGGTATCATAGTGACTAATGATCCTCGATGCCCCAAAACCTATCGAGCCAAAGGTAGATCTCATTGAATGAGATATCAAAGGGTTCAAGCAACATACCACCACTGATCAAGTCAAGAGCCAACAACAACTCAGTATGTTAACTCAAGCAATTGAAAGGTTACATTGAAAGATAGAACTCTTCATCTTGCAAGCCAGTAGAAAGAAACACCAGCCCAAAGCATTTATGGACTGGGTACCCAAAGAAAATAATCAAGACCAAGGCAACTCTAACTCCAACAACAAAGGAGGATGTGAGGAACCCCTAGGGCTTCTTAGTTCCAACCCTCAAGTATCATGATCCAAAAGTAACTATTAGTGACAATCTACATAATAGTGACACAAATGATGGTTGGAGATTCCACTATTCATGAGGGTTGACCCCAAGAACTAGGTATTTAGAGTTGAAATCTACTTCATATAAACTATCAATCTCTTGAGAAATTGTCCATAGCCAGCCTCAACCTCAATAGATGGGTAATTTTCTACTTCAAATGGGCATATGACAAGAGGTCATTCCATAGCTGAAAAGATATGAAGGTCAATCTATTTGAAAGATTTAGTTTCAAACTCACAAACATGTTATGTTAGTAGTTTTTAAAGTTCAAATAGTAAGGTTTGGTGACATAATTCATGGAAGAATTCGAATTGTATTTAAGCTTAATTCAAAATTTACCATAACTCATCTTGGAGAGCACCTTCCTCAAAGGATGACTAAAGGATATCTAAGTAGAGGTCAAGGTTTTGAATCCTCAAAGTCTAGAGACAATCATGAGGATCGCCTAACAAGTGAAATTAAAGATCAATATCCTAATAAAGATGAGAGTGACTTTTTAGGTTCAATTCCTCAAGACTACTAATTCCGACCTAAAAACTTTAGAGATAAGATG